CCCCGCCAGTGGAGACCGCGGACCCAACACCTCCACTTCCATCCATTCGTTCTCGAAGCTCTGCAGGTCGCCCAGCGGCTTCACGTAGTCACTTAGCTCTGACAATTATCAAAATAGGTTAACCGTGACCTTAAAAACTCTAATCTGAATGTATCTTATTACAAATTACCTTTCTCTTTCCTCTGCGGTAGAATATGGTACATATAGTAACCGACTACGAATCGTTTTGTCGTGTCACCGGAAGCATGACAAATCATCTTCTCTTGTAACATTCTCTGTAAGGAAAATTAAAATTATTGTAACAATTTCTTGATACCTTCACGTTCCAAGTTGATTTATTTATCGTTCGTTTACCTCCATAATTGTGGTTGCTTTTTCATATGTCATAGAATCCATGTTGGCCTGCAGCCAGTGTATAGCGTAAATTGAGACGAAGGCATGCGATGGCAGGCTGACTGTCTGCTGCAGGAAGCCCACGCCCAGTGTCGGGTGTCTCATACGCTCTATTATCTCAGATAGACTGGCGTTTGCTTTCAGCTTTGGCTCTATCACTCTGAAAGTTATTATTTTAATGACAGTTGATTCAACCTCCGATACACTGGGATTATTATGTGAAGAAACATTATTATTGTGATAACTAAATCAATAGTAAAATAAAATAACAAGTGACATTGTGTAAACTCACCCATCATCATACGTGTCTTCAGTTTCCCCTGTCTGTGATTGTGTCCGCTCGAGTACAGTTTTAGCAGCCGCCCTGTAATACACAGCTTGTCTTTCAGTGTAATAATTAAGTCACAACGTTTAACTATGCATAAGCTATACGCATGCCAAGATCGAAAAGCGCGAAATCAAAATCAATGTAGATGGCATTAGGAAGAAGCAAAGAATAATTTAATAAAATAGGAGTAAAATTAGGTTCACGTATTTATCATTGTTTGATTAAATTTATTTAGGCAATTATATTATAATTTTGTGATCATCTAAATTAATTTATTGCTGGAAGGAGAGTTCACACACAGCACAGCGCGCACATGCCTTCGAGCCGCCAAGATATGTGAAATTAATAATACGTGAACCTCATTGGATGTTAAATGGGATGTAAAAGCATGTATACTTACTTGTTGCATTGGCTAGTGTTTAGTGACTTAGTAGGTGATACTTGCTGCAATGAAACATTCGAAAAGGATAAGAAAATAAGCAACCGATAGATAAAGGGAGTAGCAAGCGTTGAAACAGAAAATGATAGCAGACAGTTGATATAGTAATTTTAAAGTTTTACAATCTGTAACATGAGAAAAGCATAATAATTAATTTTGGGACTGTGTCAAAATTCTAAATAATGAGAAATAAAAGTGCATCTATGCGGGCAACACTGCAAAAAAGGGCAGTTGAAAGTATTTTACGTTAAGTTATTATATTAAAATTTCTAATATGATAAGTAATAATCGTTAATCTAAAAAAAATTGTTGTAATTTAATAACTACAATAATAATTCATTTGATTATATTCTATTTAAACTGCTTTTTATAAGAAATTTTACAAATATGAAAGACTAAAGACCTGTGAAAGACTAGAGAGCGCAATAGCAAAAGCGAAAAGTCAAAACCAAAAACCAAACGCAACACCATAGAGTGAGAAAGAGAACAAAGATAAGCGACTTGAAATAATTTATACGTATTTAATGTACTGGAAATGTCATCATTAGCAAAGTCTTGTAAAAATAAACATTGGAATGTATTTTTTTATTCTTCGTATAAATTATTCCATAATTCTGGGCGTATTTGTATCGAACGCACAAGTTTATAAATTTTAAGAAATGTTATATAAGCTGTTTTCTGATGACATTTTTGTACAAATGTTTTGGCAGTGGAAATTTATTTGTCAGACTAGTGCGAGCGATACGTATAGTGCGACAAACTTATCTGACCCTGTGAACTGCTATCGCGGTTGGTTCAGTCAGAAATAATGTAATACCTTACTTAAAATGGACACGAGACAAGAGAACAAGAGTCTTGTCCCACCTTTTTGACGTCGACAGACATCACTAAAGATTTATCGTCATTTGTTTCGCTAACTGCGGGTTTTAACTCCAGTTTCAGTTATTTTAATACATATTGTCGTCTCTGTTTTATCAAAGAGTGTGTAAGAGACGACAATATATTAAAATAAGTGTAGCGCTGTAAAGTTCTAGGGTTATGTCCACCGGGTGAGATAAGTTTGTCAGTCTAAGCGTGTAATACATGTCACGTATACTGACATGGCCTCCATCCGGAGCCTCGGCCGGTCGGGCAGTCGGGTGCTGCCGACGCGCTCCCTGAAGGGCGAACTCACACCGCCCTGCTACACCACACAACACGCACCATTACTTAACAACACGCACTTACGCCCTTCATTAACAACCTAGTCGAACACTTACAGAAGTAGGCCTTTAAATTATAGAGATATTTAAATGTTTACTATTTGAAGGAAATTTAAAAACATTAAAGGCTTACCTTTGCATTCAAATCTATACCTTAAACAAATCACAACAAAGTCTAATTTCGTCATCCAACGATTACAAAGGTGCATTTGTTGACGACACATAACTACTTAAGTTTAACCTAAATTACGACACTACTGTATAAAGCTAGCAAACAAGTACAAAGTAAAGAAGTGCGGTCCGTGCATTTGCTTAATTTATATTTAAGCGGTGCTATGTACGCATGTCACTAGAGTATAGGATAGCATATCAAATCTAATTAGTTTTTTCGTGAAGATGATAGACGTAAAAGCTTAAAGGCCTTTACAATTGAAAACTACAGTAACAAAAAGTTCATTTTAATAAGAAATTCGGTTAGTCTTTATGCAAGAGGAATAGGGTTGAAAATTAAACCGCTGCCTTTGTAAATCTCATAGTGATGTTTTGGTAAGCTACTTGAGCTGTCATTAATGATATTATGCCATTAAAAATGTGTGAACGCCTTATTAGTTGAGAAAAAAAAACTACATGCGACAGCAAACTTAGCCTACGCCGACCTTAACAACCTCCTGAAACAACTACAAATGTTAAACTCTACTCCGATAATGGCTGAAATTGAATAGTCAATAACTGGCAACTTAAAAAGAAAATATGATCCAATAGAAGCTTTGAATAATTTTTTGCTATTACGATTTAACTAATAATAAAACTTTCTATGTAATGGAGGTAAAATTACTTGAAATAAACTTATATCTTTTCTTTCATATATGTACTTCTGGTGGAAATTATTATCTATTGTATATAAATATTTTTATTTTCTTTCATGTTTTCATATTCACAGAATCGATAAATCTTTTTTATTATTTTTATAGGAAATTCTAAATTATTTAGCTTTCGAAGTGAGCAGTGTTTTTGATACGCAGATTTGTAAAATAAATAATAAAAAAGGAATCCTGAGCCGTTAGACTTAGTCAAACGACTATAACACAACGCGTCAGTTCTACCATACCGGACAATGCGATCTAATACATTTTGATACTTGTAAACACTTTTAAAAATGTAATTTGTAATGATGAAAAAAATCGCAATTTTGAATAGTCATCGTTGTCAATCTAATATCTACTATATGCAAAAAGTTACAAAGCAATTGTATAATATTCTAACACACATAGCATATTTGTATAGCTATATTACTTTTGTCTGTATTTCTCATAGCAGTATTTATTTAGGCAAATTAAACAAATAGGTATAAGGATCAAGAAGTTGAAATCTATTATAAGTGCACATAGTAGTATATTAGTTTGAATACGGTTGTGTACATGTCCAGTATAGCGAGTAGTTGTGTCGGCACGTGTGTACCTGCGCGTTCCGCGTCAGGATGGAAGTGGAGTGCCGGCGACGTGTGGGAGCCGCATCCGCCCCGCCCGCCGGCAGCGCCATCTGCAGCACACCCACTGTAGTCGCGCCAACATCCCACCAAACCCCCTTCGCCAACCCCCGCACGAACCTCCTTGCATTTCCCTCTCGTCTCACCTAACGCTTAACTAACACGATCTCGTATCTAACAATATGATAGTATCGATATTATATCCCCGGTGCAAACACAATGATATTGTTAAATGCAATGTAATATGCTGATACACTATTAAATCTGGCTGGGAAATTACGAGACAACCTAAATGTATTCGAAATAAAAATTTGTACAGTGTATGGCCGTATCTTATAAAAAATGTAAAAGAGAAGGCCTTTTTGCCCCACTCTGGGACATTATGTAAAGATTATCGTGAATCCAAGTTCACCCAAACAGGAAATCATACATTGTGTGCAAACAATCGGGCAAACAAACAAATGCACACATTCCATTTCAATATGACATAATATACATAAATTGACAATAAATATTTTTTTGTAAAGAATTATAACCCAATTTAATTAAGTATAAGATTTTAAAAACAGCATGTTTTTAAAAAAAAATTATAACTTAGAGTTAAATTAATTTACATACGAATCCAAAGCTTTATTATGTTTTTTAAAAGATTTATTATGATTTTGCTAAATTTGATAAAATAAAAATCGACTTAACTCGAAATAGCTGTTGAAAAATTAAGAGATAAATTACATCGTGAAGTACAGGATGTTTAAATAATCTTTGTATAATATAAAAAAATATATTGCGTTTATATTAACTCGTATATACCTAATTTAAATAGTTTATTTCAAAAAATCTTATACTTAAAAAATTGGATTGGCGATAGATTTCCTTTGCCAGCGTAATTTCATGTTTGAGTTAGGTTAATTCAATAAATAAATTATTTATATTATTCAATATATTAGAGGTAAGTGTACGTTTTGTAACATGCTTTAATCATGCAGTGCAAAACTACGTGTTACATCTGTGCAATAAAACATGCTTATGTGAGTGTTATGCTGAAATATACAAGTGAGCAAACTGTAAACAATATCACATATTAATTAAAATATATGTACAGATAAGTAATATTTTTCAATACAAATTTATTAAAGCATTGATTTTTATTCAATTAAAGCATTTTTTTTTGCAAATAAAAGCTGTTTTTTACGACCAATCGATATTTATATAGATTGCGTGAAATTAAGCATAGAGAATTAATAATTCCGCATAATTTATGCTAGAATAAATACGTCATATGAAACATATTCAATTGCTTTGCCATAACTTTTTAATATTTATTTGATTACTGTTTTTTTATATATCAAATGCTGTGCCAAATTTAATTTATTAAATTGCAAAAATTAAGAGCTGTTTTCTTAAATTTGCTGAAATAACTTTTAAAAGTATAAAATTAATGCTAAAAATACTTTTAACTAATTATTTTACTTTTACTGTTCCAAATTATAGTACGATTACTCACCCTCTGTTTAATAGGTCGTTTGACTTTATTGAAGTATAATTCTGTCATTTTAAGAAATCCATCTGTCAGCTGGTCCAAATCGTGACGCGTGGGTGTTGGGTAGATGTCACAATGTGTGGATTCATCTTCCAGTATTTGTTTGGTGGCTGGATTTGTCAGCGGCAATAATAATGTCCTGAATCTCCAGTATTTTAATGACTGAAATTATTAAATTGTTAAATAATTATTTGCTTATTTTGTTATTTTTATGAGTATTTTCCATTCATGAAGTTTATGGTGGAGTTTGAATATTTGTATAACCGGTTGAAATTTTTATTTTTTACTTGTACTGTAAAATAAGAAACTTCCACACTGGCCATAATTAATTTAGTTTTCAAGGCAAAAAAAAGATGTTGGGCGTCGTTGAACACCTCGATGTTCCTGCTGCTCGTTTGCCCCCTTATCTTATAAAAAAATAAATAATTCATTGCAAAAATTAAGCTTTTATACAAACATATAATAACTTTGCACAAATAACACTCTTGTACAATTTTTTGCATAAATTGAACTTTTGCACATATTTGCACACATTGTACTTTTGTACAAAACATTAGCACAAATTGTACTTTTGTACAAAACATTTGCACAAATTGCACTTTTTTAATAATACAGCTTACCGTTACCTCTTCAAGTGCGAAGTCTGTGTCACCTCGGGTGCAGATGTAGTGGTCCATGTAGTTCCAGCTGTAGTTCTCTAGCTTTTCGGTAGTAAACGATACCCAGGACACCTCGTAGGTATCATGATACGGCGCATGGAAGCGATACCGGTAGTGGATATTGAACGGAGGATAGGGATGTCTGAAAACAACCGATCAAACATTTTATACACATAAAAGGTTATAATATTTATACACATAAAAGGTTTTTTTTTTTAATTACCAATACGATGATTTAGTAGCGAACAAGAGAGGACTATTAGTTGTACCAAAACCCAATAATACTAAATAATTTAAATTCAACAAATTAAAAACTTTGTCTGCCATCTGGCAGAAAGTTTTAATTTGTTGAATGTCAAAAATAAGGCTAGTTAATTTTGTGTATAAATAATAATTTATTTAGCTTAAAAACGAAGGGATGTAAAGAGTAAGTTGTTTATATAAAATGATGTAAGGACATCCTTAATTTAATTAAAAATGGTGTAAAAATTAGAAAAATCTTTTCTCACCTGGGTCGGTATCTAGTGACGGTAATTGTAGACCCGACTAGAGTGAGCTTGTGGAATATTCTACCAATAGAGAGCAGGTATCGTTTGGTGGGCGCGGAGTTGGCCGGCTTGCCGTACTGTGGAGCCACCTTCGACGGCGGCGGTGCTGGCGACGGACAGTGTGATTCTATCACATCGTTCTCGTTTACACCGACAATTAACTGGAAACCCTGAGAAAGTATTATATGTTTAGTATTTTTATATACATAGTACATGTAGATATTCAATTGTAAATGAAAAAAAAATATCATGGTTAGGTCTTTGAGTTACATCCATAGTAGTTGGTAGATTGGTATAGGTATTTTTATTACCGTTTTTGGTAACTTACAGCCATTACCAGACATTAATATGTGATTTAAACTGTCTATCTTGCTTCTTACTAGTATAAAATAGTCTTAGTAATATTATAAATACGAAAGGTTAGATGGATGTATGGATGTTTGTTACTGCTGCTAAAAGAACTAAACGGGTCACGTTGAAATTTGGCATATATGTAGAACATAGTCTGGACAACCCATGCGCTACTAATTAGAAAAAGAAAAGCTGGTTAGAAAGAATAAAAGCAAAAAATCACTCACTTGAGCCAATCTCTGTGAGACAAGTTCCTTAAACACCTCGTTGGTTGTAAGCGGTTTCTTGTAGATGGCGCGGTTCTGTGCGAAGTCTGCATTGACGTCATCGGGCAACAAGTTATAGTCTGACACGAGATAGTCGTTCTGCAGAGATCTCTTGTCCGGGAAGTAATCCGTGGTGATGGGAAGACACGCCGGTATGGTCAGGGACTTCCAATCTACGCCTGTTTGTAATTTTAATTGTTTTTCTTAGTATATTTGTACGTAAATAAGGAGTTTGTGAGTTTTCCATACGTACAATGGTTAAAAATACTATTTTCATAAATACTTTTTGTTATTTGTATATACATTTTTAGTTAGTAATTTAAGGGTGCATCTTCATAGTAAGTAATGCAGATGAAAAAATAATTTGTGGTCATTTAAAATACTATATATACCAAATTTCCCATATTATGTCTATGTAAAAATTAAATCGAATAATTACAGTTAAGCATATTATAAAAATAAATTTAAACAACTTAATATGGATATGCAAAAATCTTGAAATTAAAACTGCCTTATATTTTTTCCAACAAAATTAAAATCTACGTCATAAAATATAAGTATTAAAAAATAATATTTATCAAGTATATATAACAAGCAAGAAATAACATGCGATATCGTATAAAAGCCGAGCAAAGAAATTTTAAGAGGCATATCCATACTAATCACATCGTTGTTACGTTCAGCTAATACTCTACAATAATTATAGACAAACGAAAACTACAAAGCACTCAACATTTCAAGACACGGTCCTGGCACAAGTTAAAGCGTGTGAAAAAATTAAATGATTGCGTTCGATTCCCGTGTATAAAATAATTACAGACCTATTGGATTTGACCTACAAATAAACTACGAAGCTATGTTATTTTTTAGTGTCCGACCGAAACAAGATTTTTTTTTACCTCGAAAATTTAATTATAAAATCAATGATAAACTCTTTTAGATAATTTTATTAGTGACTAACACTAAAAAATATATACTATTTAATATATGCTAGACTTTTAGAGTAGATACAGTTTTATATATGTATTGTAACCGGCCAATACTATTATATTTTGGTAGGAATTGTTCGAAATCAAATCTTCGGTCTGACACTAATATTACAACACCCCCGCAAATTCTATACTTATAATAAATAAAGAGGGCTTCGCCGCAATTGCTACATAATGCAAATCCATTTAATTGTTATATCAAACCTATTTCTTGGTTCGCTTAACGCCGCAATCGTTCCCACGCGAATGAAGACATACAATGCGACGATTTCATGAAACATTAAAAATGATATGAATGTTTAATAAAACATGATAAAAAAAATATTATACACATATAAGTCATTGCCTTTTAAAAGCTAAAAAAAAACATCATAAGAAATGAGACGAATAAACAAGTGCAGCCGCAAGACGTATAAGCTCTATGTTATATTACTAAAGAAAAAAAATGCTAGATATATACTTCTGCTATAACATATTATTTTCCTTGTATGAGTAATAGTCTATTTATCTAAGCAAGCCTGATTGTTACATTAAAAGCTGGAGTCATAAACTTTTATGATAAAAGTATATACAGAAAACTAAGAAAAAGTAACATAAATTACACACAGAGGGATGTGCAGTGCTGTGCGATGGATTATATATAAATACTAGCGGACCCGACAGACGTTGTCCTGTCTACACGTCTTTAATTTGAATATTATTTAAAATTTGACACTGCGATGGTAGCGCCGTCTGTCGGATCCAATGTAAAACATTCCAAAATCAACAACTACTAATAAATTAAAAATTAATTAAAAAAACATTGTCCAGCGCACAAAATTGTGAATCTAAACCATTCCCAGGTCCCCATGAACACACACAAAAAAATCATCAAAATCTGTCCAGTTGTTTGAGAGAAGTTCAGTGACATACACTCTCACAGAAGAATTATATATATAAAGATAGAATACAGCACACATACATTTTACATACTATGTTAAAAAAGTAAATTCCTATAGCAATAGTAAATTAAATTAAATAAAATTGTTAAATGTAAAATTTTTATGCCAAAACGAAGTTTAATGCATATTTTCTAGTTTACTTTTCGTTTTGTTAATTTTGTTTCTTTAAAACCGGAGTAAAGTACTCTGGGTGAAATAATGGCATGAATAAAACGAAATAACTAGAAAATTTTAGACAACTATGATACAAATTTTTGAGCTATAATTTTGGTTATAAGTATATTAATTGTCAATAACATGCGTATGTATAAATGTACGTATGGATGATTCAAGAAAATCGTGCCAGGACCAAGCAAAAGAAAACATTGAAATGTGATGCTTGTCAACAGTTTGTGACCCCTGGTTAACATGATATGAATAGATGGAAATGTTATTGTGTTACAGACGTACAGGTCCTTTCTAGTGCTGTTAGTTAAGATTTAAACATTGATAATATATAAGGAAAATATACAGAAACAAAATCAATTTAGAAACTATAAAATAAAAATCACGTGATCAAATTTAAAACTAATTTACAATCAATCTATAATACAAATATTTCTAACCTAACCATAAAAATGCTTGATATAAAATAATAAATGCGTTTTTGAGAGTGATATAAGTTTACAGTACCAACCTGTAGTTAGCGCCGGAGTCCACTCTTGCTCGCCCGTAGCTCCCCACAATAGTGCGAGGGAGGCGTTATTGGTTGTTGAGGGCGTGGTGGTTATAGCCATCCCGCTCGCTCCTGTGCCCATCCCGCTCGCACTCAGTACGCTCGTGCCCAACACGCCGAGCGCGCCCGACGCGCTAATCATGCGCTTACGACTACTCATTATGTTACCTATATCATATACCCCGGTCAAAATAAATATTGAAGCTATGATAATTCGCATACACCTAAAAATTGGTAGGAATATTCAGAATATCATTATATGTGAACATTAAAAATTTCCCATCTCGCATTTGATTTTTTTTTTATTTTATTGGAATAAACGACATCTACAGGATCATGGTCTTTTTTGCATAAATTCCTTATGCGAAATTACAACAGCCTTTTCCTTATTATATTATTGTTATTATTTTTAGTTAATTAAAAATCCTGATAGGTAATGTTATGATTTACAACTCGGTCTAACATAATTTTTTCATAAAATTTATCGTTTCGTCAAAAAACCCATATTTGGGACAATTGACCTTGATATTTTTTCCAAATGCGTGATCGATCACTTCATGGTTCACATATAATAGTATTTCAAAAATCCCTATCAAATTTTAGCTCTATGCGAATTATTGTAGTTTCACCCCTTAATTTTGTTTGATTTGACTCAACTAATAATTAAAGTTAATTTGAGACAAAATATTTTTATGACATCTCAAACATTTTTTTCTTAATATTGATTTAAATATCAGTCTTCATGAAATTCCAATGCCTTTATTTCTCTATCTTAATTAAAGCAATTTATATTATATCGTGTTTATTCAGTTAAATTCATAAAAGATATCCGAGAATTAAAAAAAAAAAAGAAATTATGCTAAGATTAAATTTAAAATACAATAAAAATCCTTAACCGTAATTTATACAACACAAGTGAAATAAATCTACTTATGAGACCCGTTACCTTTTTATAATATAAATATCTTACCATCGACTTGATATACAGGATGATTGTTGTTCATAATGGATGTACCAGTATCTTTGGTAATATTGTCGCAACAATCGTCGTCATTCCTGGAGGCGGGCTCGCCGGCGGGCCGCGCTTGGTAATGATGTTGCTGGATTAGAACACCTTTTGGACCTAAAAAAAATATATAAAAGTTTAACAAATTAATAGAGAAAAGCAATACGAAATCTAAATAATTAAAAAATATATCATGCGAATATTTAGATGTATGGATGGATGGATGTTTGTCACAAGGTATCTCTAGAACGGGTAAAAGGATCTCGATGAAAATTGGCATTGATGTGGAACATAGTCTGGAAGAATTAAGTTTTATTTTTTATTTTTGTGCGAGGGAATCGCAGGCAACAGCCAGTAATAGGATAAATACCTTTTGGGAAGATATGAGTCCATCTTCTCCTGTTACTTGTTAATTTAACTTTAACATGTGAGGGATCAAACGGGTTGATCAGAGCTCTGCCGGTGCGTATCACCGGTTTGTTGGAAGATATGGAACTACGAGGTGACAAACGATTGATGGAACTAGGAGAATCAGTCGTATCGCTTGTAGATTCAAGTCCGCCGTATTTATCTGTAAAAAGTTAGACATTTTTTATCTTTATTTTTCGTAATAGATGGATACTTGTCAGAAATTTTGAGACATCCTATATATCAATTAACAATCTAAGGTTTAAAGCTAAAACATTAGATTGCTAATTGCAAGCGAATCGAGTTTCTTTTATGTCGTGCATATTTTTTTTTCAATGGTAAAACAAGCATCCAATTCATATAAAGTCAAATCCCAGTCTACACTCATCCTAAGTTATTTTGGAAATTCAGTGGTAACAAAAAAGTTAATATATTGTAATACATACTTCCTCCAGTCAACATATCACCGAGGCTATGATGTATATCTGGGTCAGACATTTTTCTCTGATGCATTACCGAAGTGGGCGGACTTTTACGGCTTATCTCAAGACCGGCAACAGAAGTCTTCTTTGTGCGTGTATGTACTCTTTGAACACTGTGTAAAAAAATTGTTACTTAAAAATGTATAAAAGAAAAAGTATATTAATTTCATCTTATATTAGTTAATTTTACATATATTTAATCCAACAATGCTATGCAAAAATGGAACAAATTATTAAAAAGGAACACCAAATATTTAAATGACAATGTTACAAACAAGTGTTATTTGACAATGTTACAAATGAATGAATATTAAATGACAATGTTAGAAACGAATGTTATTTGACAATGTTCCAAACGAATGTTATTTGACAATATTACAAATAATTGCATCTTAAATGACAATGTTACAAACAAATTAACTTTTATTTTTTGCTATTTTATATAGCAAAAGAATAAAAAAAGCCTAAACAATTTAATTTAACGATATTATTTGTGGTAAATTAAATCGAGATCTCTTTTGCCAATTTGGTACCAAATTAGGTACCAGAACATGTCAACATAATGTATTTGTAAAACATACATAACTCACCATGTACTATGTGCTGGTGGCAATTGAAATATTTGTGCATCATACGCATCGTAATCAAATATAGAATTATGCATATATTCATCCTCTTTAACCAATTTCCCTTTCACTTCATCTTCATACATCTTTTTTAAAGGCTCTTGACTCATTCTCGGTGGCAACTTTATTCTCGGTATAAAATTTGAATAAGCAACTTTCTTATTAGTCGAATAAAATGATAAATTAATCCAATGAGGCATTGAATAATCATCTATTGAGTTAACACCGCTATCTTTGTTGTGAAACTTTAACAATGGTACGGCATGTAGCGGTTGTTCACCTACACACACTAAGTCACTGCCTACACCATTATCGATAATTCTTTGTTTTGTCACATTCGTTAGTTCCCGGTCGACTTCAAATACTCCAACACCGGGAGTTATTACTACGCTCAGCTGGCCAGTCCTATCAAAGCATCTGTCCAAATAGTGTTTCTCAAATACTGAAATCATAATAAACACACATAAATAAATGATAGTTATGTACATTTTAAGCAATGTATTAAATTCCTGAATGTTAAACTCCTTACTAGATATAACAATGATTATTATGACACACACACTAAGTTCTGACTTGTGAATTAATAAAATTTTACGGAGAAAACTATCTAACATCAAAGCATTATGAAATGTTCATGATGCCAAATATTGTTCCTAAATTTAAAAATATCGGTCTAAATTTGTTATACAAAATGTTTTTGGATAATCCTACAAATATTACAATGGGAATGTTTAGATGGATGTTTGTTACAAGGAATCTGCGGAATAGCTGAACGGATTTCAATAAAATTGGAACTTTATATAGAACATATTCTTGAAGAACTCGGAAGAGACAGCTAGTATATCTATATGTAAATAAAACTTGCCATTCAAACTCATATTCAACACTTCAAGGAAATTCCCTTGAGCTGCAGTGGAATTGATGGCAGTAGGTATCTCCATGTTGGCTCTCTCATGGTACTGGAGAACTATTTTCTGGTAATCTGTAAAAAGTCTTCTTAACTGGAGCAATACATTTGACCAGTCGTCATATCTCTCATTTTGTACTGCCACTCTGAAAATTGTTTCATAATTTATTTTTTAATTTAGTCATACTAATATTATAAATGTGAATGTTTAGATGGATAGATGGATGAATGGATGGATGTTTGTTTGAAGGTATCTCTGAAATGGCTCAATGGATCTTGATAAAATTTGGCACTGATATAGAACATAGTCTGGAAGAACACATGGGCTACTCCTTAAAACCCTTTCGGCTATTTCATTAAATTTTTCGTTGAACAATTAATGAATTGAAATGGAAAATTAATAACCTATAAAAATCTTCATAATATCTCCCCCTGTAGTCTTTCTGTAAGCATTCCTTCATGTGTTGTGGGAATTCTTCTAAGGATTTGGCTTTGTAGAATGTCCTAGAGAATAGGACTATTGTTACTTCATGATTACTGCCGTTTTTCTGAAAAAATTGATTAAATAGTTCTATAGTGATTTCAAGACTCATTGTAAAATATAAGATTTTACATGATGCAAGTTTAGATGGATGTATGTTTGTTACAAGATCTCTTCACAACTGCTGTATCGATCACGCTGAAATTTGGCATAGTTGTAGAACAAAGATTAGAAGAATACCTAGGCTATTTTTTAAGTTTTTTTTATAATTTAAATTTAATTTTTTATAGTTAGATACATGAATTTGTGATTTTTAACTACCTAATTAATGAATAAAAGGGAATATGCATGTACTTTTTTGCAAACGTTTTTTTCAGCAACAAGTCATACAAAATCATCCTTTTGTGAAGTGTCACATGCGGATTATTCCCATTTATTTAGTTATCAAAGGATCAAGGGTCACAGTTGTCATATAAGGTCAATTCAATAAACAAATAAACAGTATACATTAAACTTTGATAACATAAACGTGCATCATATGAATTAATAAATATTGTAGTTGAGAACTACATCAACACTAAAATACAAGAGTTTATTAAAATAATTTGAAATCTATATGAAAAATATATAGATACTATATAATGAACATTCATAAACATACCTTCCATTTTGCAAAAAGATCAGCGAGAAAACCATTGACCGCCTTTTCAAAGTATAAATCTCCATGAATGTCAAAATCCCACATTTCGGATGACATTTGTATGAACAAGTACACCATAGATGTTGAAGATCTAAACACAATCTTTGTGTCTTCAGTGATAACACCGCAGGCGACACGGTCACCTTGTGACCACATTTCATATACTTGACATCGAATAGCTCCTCCACAATATTCTATTTTCTTATTCAAATATACACATGTGTTCACCTTTAAGCAATAAATATAGTAGTAAGTATAAAATAGATGTTTCCAATGAATTATTCACACATCTTACAAAAAAAAAAGACATGACTTTTGGAACTCTTTTCATTGCATAGGTTGACATAAGTCCATCAGTAACTCACCAAATGATTTTTTAATCTCCACATTTCTGATCTGCCCATATACTGATCTTTAAAGGTAACTTCCACTGAATCTAATGCCACATCTGCTACATTTACAATGTTGACATACACATCAGCAAATGTCCTCAGTTGAAAAGTAGTTGCTATGCTTTGTTCCACACTTATAGTATCTGGAAGTTTGAATTGTATTTTTCATATAAATATCTGTATCCAAAAAATACTTTGAAACATTGAAAATTAGATTCCCTTTTGCTTAAGATCAATTTTATATAAATTTGGCATGATTTGATAATGTAATGTATTACCAAAATTGAAATTGGATATAAAACTATTATTAACCTTTCCTTTCCTTTCAAAAACTTACCTTTAACTGCCCGACTAGGCGCTTCCACCTTGGGCACTTGTAGGAGCAACCTGGGATAGTCATTTTCAGGATGATATATTTCAACAATATCCTTTTCTTTCAGTCCAGGATAATCTTTCAGATTAATTATTAAATCTTCAGCTGTAAATTATTATTAACAATGAATAATGGACTCTAAACATGAATAATATTTTTTTCTAAAACCAACTTACGGCTGAAACTAGATTGGTGGACAATAAGCTTGAAGAATTTCATGTTTATTTTATGCGTCTTCTCTAGCTGAACCAAAGCATCTTGGACTTTTTGACAGAAAGGTCTTTGTGCAGAGTTTACGTTTCCACTTAATCGCACTTCGCTTATTTATATCATTCATTTGAAGACCTCATTGAAAGAATGTAATTAATATGATTACAAATATTTAAAAACTAAAAAGTAATAAATAGGCAGCAGAAAACTCGAATAGAAACCAAAATTTCCACATTAAGTCACTAAGGCTTTAATACTAAAGAGTAAACTTAACCTAAAATTATCATTAACATTTTTTTAGCAAAGAAACAAACGTTACTGCTGAAATATACATATAAAAATCTAAAATATTATTTGCGTATTGATCAGTGATCAGATTGTGACATATATGATGTTTTATGTGACATGACATGATCGACAATTTGACATTCGTCGACAATTTGACAAAAAATGATTTGAGTTTGACAGTTATCGAATAGTTTATAAAACTTCAAGTTCGGAAATAAATACAAACTTAGAACTTTTACGTACTCTGTGGGCCAATGCAATAGAAGGAGAAATGAAAACGCGCGATGATAGAGTGAGGAGGCATGTCCAACATGAAACGTCATATAAAAAATTTCGTTCGAAGTTTAGCTAGCCTTGTGGAAAACAATTTGTTTGGACTTGCTTTCGTTTTTAAGTTAATTGGGTGATATTATAAATGAAAATATAATGAATTTATTCGAGTTAAAGGAGCCAATAGCGTATTTAGCTATTGTAACTACTATTTTGCAATTTTTATCGGGCATGTATGTAGCCATTGCAGTTTTTTATACCATTTTTATTTTTAATGAATGCAAGACAATTTAAATTACACTTTTAGCTTAGTCTGCAAGCAGTATGTCGTTAATAGAACTACTGCTGAGGCCTCTTCGTTTCCTTTTATTGCCGGCGTTTTATCGTAAGTTTTACTACATTGGAAATTTAATGCAATAATATTATTCTGATATTAATATATAATATTCATTACACAGGTGTGGGGTGTGGTTTCTATATGGATTGGCAAAACGCAACGATAAAATAGTTATAGTTAACACAGTTGGTCTCATGTTAATGATCTCATACACAACTGTATTTTATATATATACATTTAAAAAATCTGCTGTATTGAGACAGTGTACTTGTATCATTATTTTGTTCCTTATTTTATTAGGATATATTTCTGTTGAAGAAGATAACGAAAATCTTGTTATAAGACTTGGTATGTGTTAGTTTTTTTATAAATTATGTTTTAAAATTATTCAAGAAGCTGCTTAACTGTGTCATCAATAACTTTTATAATTTCCAGGTACGCTTGCCAGTTCCTTTACTCTTATAACAGTGGCTGCACCCATGAGCAAACTGTGGTATGTGATCAGAGTAAAAAGTACAGAATGTTTGCCATTCCCTATGATACTGATGTCCTTATTTGTATCAGCATTTTGGTACCTTTATGGTTATATAGACCAGGACCTATTCATAGCGGTAATAATTTTTAGTAAATATAACTTAAGTTTAAATGTTATTAACTCAAATCACTGTCTAAAATACTTACAAAGAACTTTTATTTTAAATGAAAAGACTGAAAATCTATAACTATGAAGACCATCAGTAAAACTACTAAGCGAAGCTTTTATTATAGATGTGATATTTATTTTTTTATGTCTATTTATATTTTATCCATGACCCAACAATGACCTTTTACCTTTCAGGGCCCAAATTTAATTGGTATGATTCTAGCATTGGCACAGCTAGCTCTGTTTGTAATATTTCCCAGCACATCCCATTCTTCTGTTCAATATAAAAGTATTATAGCTTAAAATTTTTCATAACACATTATTAACTAAAATTAAGTGTGTCTACCAAAAAGACAACAGAAGTAAGGTAAGTGCACCTACAAGTCTTGGCAGCACAAATTGTTTTTATAATCTACTTTTATGCTCATACTTAATTTTACAAACCCTGAAAAGGATTGATCTGACCTGATTTAAGCCTTATAAAATTAAGATTATATGGGGACCTCAAGCTTGGTAAAATTTACTTGATACAATATCTAAATAAAACCAGTATTTATTAGGTTGTGCTTCCCATTAAAATGTGTCTACCTCTTACAAACTTCATGTTTTGCACTGCTGTTAGTGCTTGTCCACATCTCCACGTCACGACGTCGTCAACGTATAACAGTGCCGTAACGTGGCACGCTAAGTTGACGTGAGGTGCAAATGTACAGTCAGCGTCATATAGATCGTCACAGACAAGATATGCAAATATATAGGTACATCAAAAGTAATCAATTATATCGGTACAACAAAAGTCCTCAAAATAATAGATACATTCACCCTGCTCAAATACATCGGTACATACACAGCGTCAAATATATGAGTACATGCAAGATGCTCATAAATATCGTAGCAGCCACAGCGTCATAAGTAACGAAGCAGTCAAGGTGCGCAAAAATATCGGTACATTTGACAAAATTGAACTCTATCTCTATATACTTGTGATACAATTTGGAATAAACTACTTCTGTTACATTCATTTGACACTTTGTATTAACATTATAGGTTGTCCGGAAAGTTCGGTCTGATTTTCGATATAAAGCTTACAATAGACTGTAGCTGAAGTGGATTCATTTTCGGATTTCCACCATTATCAAACGTCACAAAAATTTCTATATTGTGAATAATTTCATTTCATTGGTTGAGATAAAAACTAATTTTTAAAATTTTAGCCAAAAATAAAAGACGTTTTAGGTATAGAGTCGTATCAATATAATTTAAAAACATTTCCAAAAATTTAAGAGAACAGGGTTTCAATTTTCCTTATAAAGCGGCACGAACTTACTGGGCAACCAATATTTTTCTTCTCCTGTCATAACGCTTAAATATATTATAAAAGTTTGTCACGGATGTAGTGTATGCGTAAACGTAGTGTTGTTTGTCTCGAGCGTACACGCCATAAGTACATGCCGGAGAGAGGGGACGTCAGTCGATGTCAGACCTTTGAGCCGGCAACACGTGTCGGTACGTGAACGAGCCAAATATAGCACAACGAATGCTACAACGCCGAATATGACAGATACATAATAACTAATATCAAATTTTGCCTTGTCACAATATATACTAGTTTGGCGCAGTATTCTAGTATGTTTCCCGTAATATGTAAGTTTACCGGTTCGAATCTCAGGCTACTTTTTTTTTCATTTTATCAATCACGGGGTTATTTTTTCATAACCAGTAAAAATTTGGTAATGTAAAATTTTGCTCGACAATTTTTTTTTATAATTTTCGCTGTCGGGTAGAAAGAAATTTAAATAAAATTAACAACAATTAGGTCAGACCATCGCCGGTGAAGTGAGTGGGCGGAGCGTGGATTGTCTTTGCGGGTTTTAAGAATGGTACGCGCGGAAACTATACGTACAAGTGTTATCTACATATGTGTGCGCGCCCACGCACACTGGAATGTTTATTGCAATCGACCAAAAACTTGATGTAGTTTGGATATTGACATTCAGTTTTTTTTCTTTGTTTCTTAAATATAATCAGTATCAGTAAAAGGTAAAAGTAAAAGTGTTATTTTTACCGGTACAAGTTTAACAAACATGAGTAATAAACAAATTACATGTCAGTAGCATCGCTTTATCTCCCTCATTTTTGTTTGAAATAGAAAAGTACTTTAACGGTCAAACTCAGTCCAAGGCAATATCAAAAAGTACCTAATAACTACGGCGATAGAGTTTAATTACATGTGCTTCGATATTAAAATTAAAAAGTTAAAATATAAAAAAAAAAATAGTTGCTTGGGATTTGAACCGCCGAACTAACGTACCAACGGCGGCCAACGGTAAGGCCATGAGACCAAACTAGCATATATGATGACAAACTTAAATTTGATGTTGGTTTTATCTACCTAATATATGTCATCCGCGTCGAACACTTTTAGTAAATTTTGAAAAATGGTTTGATGCAAAGTGTCAAATGAATGTAACAGAAGTAGTTTATTCCAAATTGTATCACAAGTATATAGAGATAGAGTTCAATTTTGTCAAATGTACCGATATTTTTGCGCACCTTGACTGCTTCGTTACTTATGACGCTGTGGCTGCTACGATATTTATGAGCATCTTGCATGTACTCATATATTTGACGCTGTGTATGTACCGATGTATTTGAGCAGGGTGAATGTATCTATTATTTTGAGGACTTTTGTTGTACCGATATAATTGATTACTTTTGGTGTACCTATATATTTGCATATCTTGTCTGTGACGATCTATATGACGCTGACTGTACGTCAACGTAACTATAAATACAACGACGCAGCAAAAGACGTATTCTGCTTCAGTTATTGTTAAAAAGACGGAGAGAGAGGGGTTAAAAAAAAAGTAAAATAACAGTACTGGTTGCACAGATATCTTTCATTAGGCGTGACACGACGTTACCGTACCGTGTCACGTTACGTGACGTGGAGATGCGGACAGGCTCTTACTATGAAGATGTTAAATGGAAGGCATCTCTCATTTGTTCCTATTGACAAAGCTCTACTATAAATAGTTATTAAACTAATTTTTCACTTTTTACTCTTGTTATTTATTTAATGATTGAAATAAATGACAGCTAATGGTGTTTTTATATAGTGTTATATAGAAATTGGTTAGAATTTTATAGTACAAATAGTATTTTGTTCTCATTTACAAAGAATAATAACCTCAAAAGACAAATGCTTTATCAGTTCTTACGAAAATTGTTTTATTTTAGATGATAAACATCTCTGCCATTGTATTAATATAATAGATTATTCGAGTGAGATTTAAAGTGTAAGTGAGTAAATTATATTAGTATTATAATACTATGAATGTATAAAAAATAAACAAAATAAAAGAGTGAAGATATCTTTTATGTTTTTTATTACACGCTTGATCTTTTTTACACACGCAATATGACCTGTCGTTTGGTTTCTTGACACAATTCCCTCTGGTGTTATAAGCCGATATAGTTTCTATTGGTCCTACAATGCTTATTTCGTTACCATCTCTCATTAAATTCGCTTCGAACGCTACGTCACCCGGCACAAATAAAAAAGCTACAATGTAAAATGTTCTTCCATCGTCAACATAAAAATGATGTCTTAAAACCGTTTTTAACTTTAGATTTTCGCATAGCATGCAATAATCCGTTTCTATTGTCTTCGTTATGTTTTGTATATAGGACACGGCTAGATCTAGACTTTTTTGCACGTACGGGTCACTCTCGTTTGCTTTGACCATGTTGTGACAGCTGCACCATTTGTCAGTAACACCGGCGTCGGCGCATGTCCTATTCACTGGTTTTTCGTAAAATAAACTTGAACAATTTAAACACGCCTCAGAGGGCATAATCTCAACAGAATCGTTTGACAGCTTCAATATATTTGACATAGTTAAATGAAAATCATACGGCGTAGTCAATCTATCTTGATTAGTTTTTAAATTATTGTATTCATTGAAATATAATTCTTGAAATCTATATGGCACATGCATGAAGAACATGGGTAGTCGTTCTTCATAATAAGACTCTATGGGTAATCTCATCTCGCCGTATCTTATTCCATGATCACTTAGAAATATAATGAAGGTATTGTTAAGTGCACTACTCTGTACTAGTCTATCAAAGAAGTGTACCATGTCCTTATCAATAAGTGCCGGCTTATTATCAAAATTATGACTGAAAGAGTTCAGCCAAAACATGCCAAAAAAGTTAACATCGTCATACGTATTTACAAAATCTATAGCGTAATCTAATAGATGTAACGCTGAAGGTCGTCTTCCTGTGCAAATATAATTCCCGCTTTTTTCCTCTCCGGTTAGGAAAAATGGCCGAGTATAGTGGTGTGTCGGTGTTACATTAAATCCTTTGTATCGTGAAAAAGTATCAGGTAGATTTAAGTATTCTTCACCATAAGCAGTGACGTAGCCTGCTTCTTCAAATTTATGCCACATCATAAAGTCGTTGCAGTACGTCATGCCTTTTGCACAAGCCTTGTATACTGAAGACATTTTCTTCCCAGTTAAAACGGCCATTATATTTGGAAATGTGTTAAAGCCCACCTGAAAAATTTAATCCATTTTAATTATATCTAAAATTAATTAGAAAAAATATTGTCTATGACGTATATGTAAGTTTATTCGGAGTGTTTTATTATATCTTTAATGAAGCAATAAGAGTTTAATAGATAAGGCTTTGAAACTTATTTTGACTACGTACTTTATCATACGAAGCGGGCGTCGGCAAGTAACCGATTAGTTAGGTCATTATACTCATTTGTTTGAATTTTTTATTGCATTAATCATTAACTATCGAGTAAGAAAACGCAAAAGTAAAATGTCCTTTACCTTTTGATATCCTCTGAAATCTAGCCATTTATGCTTGTGGAAGTGGGTAACGGTTTGAGGCATGGTAGCGTACGCTCTCGCCCGTGACATCGTGTCCATACCAACTATTAAAACATTCCACGACTCTTCATTTTCATTGCTTATCTTTTCCAATGTATTTAATTTCTTAAGTAAAAGGTACGCATCTTCGTAGATGTCGATATGTTTTGCTCCTGAATTAATTTTACAATTTACAGTGAGAACTTCTTGTTCCAAGTCTATTATTGTTCCCGTTTTAAAAGTCTTACACGTTGAATATCTGCAAAAAATATTAAATTTGTTACGACCGGTAACTTGTACGTTAATATTAGTCGACGATATCAACAGCGTTGAATAATAATTTTCGTTTAATTGTATAAAGCCTAGAATAGTGTTGAAACTAACCGATAACCTCTCGATAAAGTTCTTTGGTTTAGCTTTTGCTATTGAACCTTATATATGCTGCTCTTAAATATGTGGGTATTGCAGCAAGTCTAGAAGATTCGATTATAATAAGAAACTTTAACATATTCTTACGTAATTTCAGTGTCCTCCTTTCCTGGCTCGGTAGATCTATAAGCGAATTTGTAACAACAGTTGAAAGGTTTTCCTTTACTATAACGCTTCATTGTGTGATATTGTATGTCGAATTTGATTTTATTGTCAGCTATTTTATTTACGAATACACCTCGGTCTCCACAAGTCTTCTTTTTATATTCAGCTTCTTTAAATTTCAATGTTTTTGAAAAATTTGGTATCACACATCCTGCCGTATTGAGTATATAATCTGTATCTAAAATAAAAATAGAAAAATAAATAAAAATTCACCATATCCTCTAATCTAATGTATCTTTTGTTCAAAATGTCAAATTAAGCACATATTAAATACCTTGTCTACAAGCCGCTACGTAACTCATGCTACGACGTAGTAGGCATACGAAATTGATAAATAATAAAAGTAATTAACGGATTACGTTCGATTTCATATTGTATAGGTAGGTTTATATCGAACAATAAATAAAAACGGATATTTGATGATGGTAAAAATAATTTTGAAATAAAAAAAAAAAACATACCATTATAAGTCTGAATCGTTGTTTTCAAATCAAATATTGGCTTTTCTATCTCGTAAAAATTAATTAAATTGAACATATTGTAGTAAAATATAAATATGACCATGCCAATGATCAACGCTGATGTAGTGACAGCCTTATGTAAGTTTACAATGCATGAGGTAGGTTTCTTCATCCTTAGAGGTACTGAAATGAAAACATAGATTAAAAAAAATCACATATTACTAATTTATGCTATTTTTCGAAAACCTAATAAGTTTGAATGTATTTGTCTAATTTTTAATTATCATATGATGCGCAATGTATCGTGTAGAGCACTTTATAAACCCTTCATATCAAGAAATGCACATATAGACCGGAACCCAGGTGGCCTACTGACAATTACCTTGTCAAACGTAAATATTGATATTATTTTATTCTATAGTCTACAAATATCGTTATCGCCATAATAGCATACATTGTGTGCAGGATGTTTATTTGATAATGACACGCTCTATAACAGTAGATATTATTCCATAGTTTCACAATTGTATATTCCAGGGGTGGCCAACTTGATTAGAACATAGGTCTATTTTTTGTCGACGAAACCCACCATCGAAACCCCACATTTTAAATGAAACACCACAGGTCAGTACACAATTATGTAGTAATTTTAGGTTTCGGTACATCGACGGGAAATAACCAAGCCTTTAGTCACTTTATTTTCTGGTTGACTGTCTGTCAAGAAGGGTATTTATTTTACTGAAAGGGATATAATAAACTAACAAATATTCTTGTATAAGTGTAAGTATTGCGTCTGAGAATCATCTGTTACGGTATATTTTATGTATTATGTATGTGCATTGCTATGAATGACGTGACTAATAGTCGCGACCGACACCCCTGGTCTATACGTATGATAAAAAAGCATTAATATGCCTCGTTTAAGTAAGCGTCAGTGTTTTCGTTACTTTATGAGGGGTGAACCCTTCAATCTTCTATATCATGGGGGTTTCAGGGGTTTTCGGTTGCTATTTTACAACAGTAATTAATAACAAATACACAGTTAAACACTAATGCACACTAATTATACGAAAATATTTAACACTATCCTATTTAATTGTATCTTAATTTTAGCTTATTTTAATCAGTTTAATGATGGCATTATGCGTACTCACATCGGTTGTCTGTCCACATATATCGAATAGTATGATTCATATCACTTTGTAATACTTCACGGGTATACAATTAAGAAATGATTGATTGCAATGACAAAGTTTATATATAAACGTTTAGTGTACAATTATTTTTATGTATAAATTACGTTATCTCAGATTTAATTAAATGTTTATATTGATAATATCATTAAGTGGATATAGTTATTTGCAAATTGTGATTTGTCGATAAAACAATAATGGTTTTACATATGTATTAGTGATATCATTGTTCGTTACTTTGTCTATTTGCGAATTAATCGTAACTTAGATAAAAATAAATAAGCTCTTTACATAGATACGGTTATTTTAAGCGGAGTCGCGAGCGACAGCCAGTATTGAATATTATAAATATTATAATAGTATATATAATATATAAATAATAACCCACAACGTTATAAAATGTGAATGTTTGTATGTTTGTTACCAGGTATAACTAGAACCAGCAAACTAATAATTTACAGAACGAAGTTACGGAGAACAGTTTATTATAATTTAACACAACATTATTATGTATAGCTAGAAATTAATTTCAAATAACGTATCCATTTAGGTAATTGAAAATGAGACTGTATTCAATTACATTTTCAATCCATTACACTAGAGACAATATGGACGGAGTAAGGAGTGCCCGTAATAGAATAGCGAGGTTGAGGCACTGACGTAAACATCAATCTAACTAATATTATGGGAATGTTTGGATGTATGGATGTTTGTTAGAAGGTATCTCCGGAACGTCTGGATGGATCTCGCTAAATTTGGTATAGATATACAGCTTAGTCTGTAAGAACACATAAGCTACTAATTAAGTTATTTTTAATTCCGCGTGGACGGGGTTGCGGGCTACAGCTAGTGGATTAATACAATGACGATGTGTAAAACGTATCTTGTTTCCAATTATAAGGTGCTGACACCTTTATTGGGATCAAGGGCAATCTTCTAGATGAATTAACTCGCGTTATTGTTATTAATTAACAACATCATTGGCATAAACTAATATATAAACGACTAAAAACCTTACGTATGTTCGTCTGGTGACGGCACCGACTAGTTTCGTGGCCATCGGGGGTCCTTCATAAGGGTGATAAGGTCTGGTATTATGTCGTGGACGGGCCCAGTCGCTCAATTGGAGTGAGAAATAATGACTCACGAAAGTTTGGATAATCATTCGAATAAAATGTACATTTAAAATTTGGCGCACTTATTCTTAAATTGCTATAATTTTTTTTCTTAATACTGATAGATTACTCATCGAATTTATCCTTTTTATCATACGTAAATGTTTTCATTTTTCTTTGAAATGGTAAATATTTAGCATAAAGACTGTGTCATATGACAAGTTTAACCGCAAACATACACATTATTATGACGATCACATGGAATTCACATTGTTCACTGCGATACGAGTTAACTCGAACTACACTCATTTGGAACTGTTAACAAACGCAAATGGGATATGGTATTACATAAACATATCAATGTTTAATACTATACAAAGAATGAAATTAGACTGCAAAATAAATGCCTTAGCGGACCTATTGATGAAAAGGTTACAGGACATTCCTGAACTGGATTAGAGAAAAATGCTTGGGTAAATCATAGTGAGTCACTACAGTAAATGTTCAGAGCCTCTTTTGGGGTTCACAAGAGAGCATAGACTTTTATATCGGTCTCTCTATGAATTTTACTATGTATCATGACAAAGCGAAGATAAAATTTTATCTATGAATTTTACAATGTATTATGACAAAGCTAAGATAAAAAAAATATTCAGACAATTATTTGGTTACGGTAAGTAAACAAACTAATGTATTGACGTGACATAATGGTCGTAAACATTGTAAATATGTAAATAAAAAAGATATATCCTTTCTATCAATGTATCGCTTTAGATATCTAACATGAAAATGCTGGCAGCAAAGAAAAAAATATTTTTTTCTTTTAAAAATGTCAAATTATAATAATTAATATACAGTCTAATAAAACGCACTAAGATAATATTTTATTCATTAGAAAACCTTAAATCATTACACTAAATACACTTTTATCTCAATGGATATTTTTTTTATTTAAAAAAAATACTATAAGGAATTTAATATTTCCAAAAACAACTCACCAGATTCAATTGTTCTTAATATATTTTAATATTTTTCTTACGACGTTATCAGATTAATGAATACTGAAGAACTGCGGTCATGATAGCTTTTCATATCATATCATTGTTTGTTTATAAACAGACCGAACGCGCAATGTACACACTAGACACACAAACATACTCCCAGCAAACCATGAACGTCCGTCATTATTGACCTGTGTAACATCACTGCGTGTAGTCGGTTTTTCATGCAGCGGTGGAACACGTCTTATATGTTCCAAACTGAGGGGTCACTGAATAAACAGTTCATTAAAAAATAATGGTGATAAGTAAATTTAAAGAATAACAGTGTATTCTTTTATGACAATACTAGCGGTCGCCCGCGACTCCGACCTTGCGGAATTAAAAAATAACATAATGAGTTCTTCCAGACCATTTATGATATTAGTAAGATATGAGGTTGACGACATTTCATAGTTATGGGCGACATATACTGATTGTTTCAGATGGTATTGACCGCATTAACCAGTCTGTGATCTATTTTCGCGACAGGCTCCAGAAATTTAATTCATATAAATTCCACATCGCGTGCTTACTTATGTATTATTTTGTGTTAACTGAATTCTTTTTCGTAATACTCGTATATGTCAAGATCCCGGTTCCATAATTTACGGGTTAAAAATTGTACGCAAATTCCGTATTCACGAAAAAATATTTAGGTACCGGTTTTGGTATCGACAGTCCATTTATCAATGTAAAATTAGAAATCTATACTTTTTCCTGGGACATATGTGTTGTCTTAGAAATATTTATTTACGGAATATCCATCCAACAACTTGTAAATATTATCAGGTAAAATACTACGCTAAAGGAAAATATGGCGAAAACCAACCTTTTTACCTGTATTTATTAAAGATATGCTTTTATAACTAGACTCCTCTAACACGGGCTATCTTTTTCCCTCTAGCTTTGTGAGTGGTGTTACAGGGCGTTGAGGTTCTGACATTCCGTAAATTATGAAAACAAAATTACTCAAGAATTATGTTGATTCGAAGGTAAAATATTTATTAATACTAAGTATTACGTATCATAGCGTATCCTGTAAAGAAATCACATCATTCTAAAGCTTTATGATTACTTTTTTTTATATAATAAGGTGGAGAACGATCGAGCGGCCACCTGAAATCGCTGAAATAGCGAAGTGACCGTTGTCCATAGACATACGGAATTGCATATGCGTTGCCTACCTTTAATCGACGGAGGAGAGGATGCACAGAAAGAAAACATTTCCATGCATCCCCTCATCCGGAAAGTCCACTTGCACTTCCCATCCTTTCCTTATAAGAAAAAAAGTAGGAAGGGAAAGAGGACTAAATAAGGCCTCCGGCACACTTATCAGATGTAACGCGGAATTGCTTTCACTTCACGCCTGTCTTCTGTGTGGTAGTGGTATTTCACCGGGCGAGCCGGGCCATTTCGTGCGAAGATGTTAAAGCGGGCTCTACCACTGTTACTTAGGTTTTTTTACATAGAATCAGATTTAATGGTCACGTACATCCAGAATATGTGTCCTTTCAATCTATACAAAAAATCAAAGAACAAACGTTTCATAAACATCGATTTTATTCACAAAATGGAACGGAGTGTTGGGTAATCGGAAACTGTTTTGTGTCATGGCCTTATAGATACTAGAACAGCACTGCCGGGTAATGCAACACGATGCGCCATACTAATAGTACGTCACACGTTGTATATCAATGGCACACTGACTGCATTCGTGTGTTTTCATTGTTCAAACACTCGAACAAAACATTGAGAATGTTCATTGCTATATATTTTAGACAACATTTTTATAGTTAGAAACATATAGCGCGAGTATTGCTAGTAAACATACGTAAATATTATTACGTCTACGGGTGAACGACCCACTATTTTCGTCGCCTAATGGTAAAAAATTGAGATATTGTTTATGGATATACGTATTATTACTTTTGTTATCACTCTTATAGGACATTTTCAATGACCATTAAATTTGCATATTAGCGTATATAATTTATTTCTCGTACCTTATTTTATTGATAAGGTACGAGAGGTTATAATATTTATTTTATCTGTCGTTAGTCTACGGTATGAATATACGATGAATTCAAAATATGCAATTAAGTCTAACTACAAAAAATATGATATTTATAAAATTGGAAATCTTTTAGTCTTAGGAACCTCATTATTTTTTTTACCACTTACGATGCGCAACAATTTATGTCTGAATTTTTGAGGCTAGTAAAAGTTTTATCCATATCTCTCCACTGTTACGATATAACATTCTAAAAAATATTAGACTTTCTAGTAATATACACTAGTCTCTCCTGTCCCACTGGGTTGCCTGGAGGAGATCGCTTATAGCGATAGTGCCGCCCTTGCTATGAAAATTAGTTTTTAGTCATGTTTTTACATATTGTAATAGCATTAAGAGTTAGTAAATAAAAATATTATTTTATACTTGGTATTATAAAATTCAAAGTTTTACTTTTATAAATAACAAAGTAAGTTGTCAAAAATTCCTTAAGTTGCCTTGAGAAATGGATCGTGCAGCCATGAAAGCCTGATTCACCTGATTCGGTTATTAAACGCCATATGTTTAGTTGAAGAGGTAATTATATTGTTTTATGTCGTAAGTAATGTTAAAACAATTTCAATTAAATTGAAAGAACCATGTGAAGTTTACCACGGACTCCTTCGTTAACTCGCTGCTAAATTTATAAAAAAAACGTGACTGATGATACTTATTGAATATTTTTATCAAGTTTATAGCACTCGAGTGTGTCTTGTCTGCCCAACCCTTCAATTTCCACAAACTTGCGTTAATTTAGAATTTAAGTGTTCTTGATTACAACTCTAAGAGAGTGATTGTACCAATTAAAATACTATCTTTGATTATCATTGGAAAGTACAAGCAAAGAAAATTAACGAATATCTGTCGGCGATAGCAAATATAAATTTAGACATGAATTTTTTAATGCAGACAAAGGTTTTTGATAAGAAGTGCATTGTCTTTAGATTGCCCTTTAAATGTTAGGCAGTCGTTTTATCGGTGAATTACCGGATGGGTGTGCCACAATGACGCTTTTGTGAATCCTTCTTTATAAGTTAACAAGAAAACATCATTAGGCAATTAAAATTCATTGGATATATTCGAATTATTTTACATACATTGAAAGCAAATTTAAATCATAAGTACCTCTTATGAATAACGTTATGCAGTAACGGCTTCAGATCTACAGGCGCCCTGGGCGAGATTTCTACGGTCCTGATGCGGTTCGGTACCGACCACAAAAAAATTAACAATAATTTGACCTCATATTTTTTGCGATTGTTAGGTAATTTTATGCACTTAATATCAATTTTGTATAAAATATTAAAAATAGTTTATTTCTTCACAAATATATTTTTTATGTTAATTAAAACTTATACTATATATTTAGGTTAAAATTAAACAACACAAATATTAAAAAAACTGTTTTTAATTTCTTATTAATATAGAGTAAATATAACAAAGCTATAAAATTAAATGCTTCAAACATCACTCAAAATTAATACTTAGTAGTAATAAGTATTAGTAGTCGCGGGCAAAAGCTAGTTAGGATATAAAAGTACATGTAAGGAGATTAAGAATTCCAAATTTATGTTTAAAAATATACTTTTTATGGGTAAAATGTATTCAAAAATATTTTTACGACGACGTGAAAACTTCTATAGACCTAAATCAAAAAATATTACGGAATAAACTTTAAAAACATTGTAGTTTTACTATCACAGAAAAACTAAACGTAGAAAAATACTAACATAGTTGTACAACTAATAATGAATCAAATTTTCTCTATCAAAAATTATTTTTTACATTTTTAAATTAGTTTATTAATGAGGTAATAAGTAGACTGTAGAGCAAAATTTATACGTAAAATAGAGGCCACTTTAAATCTAAACTTATTGAGCAGAAATTTTTCTTTGTATAAAAAAAACGAGGATAAATTAGACATCGAAATGTTTTAATTGTAAATTATTATCAATAAAAATATCACAGATAAAATAATAAAAAAAATTTCTTTAAAGTAATAAAATATAATTTTAAGTCTTACAGTTACCAATTTTTTCACATACGCAAAACAAGCGATCTTTATATTGTATTGTACATTTGCCGAAATTCCGATATGGAGATATAACGCTTATTTGACCAACTAGATGCAACTTCGATTTATCTTTCATAACAGTAGCTTCATACGACATATTTCCTGGCGTTAATGTGATAGCAACAACATAATAAATATTAATTCTTTCTTTATCGTAGTAATAATGAATTCTGTTAATTTTACCTAACGACAAACTCGTGCATGTCCAACAAGATTTCGTCTTAACAGACGCTATTATACTCTTAATATGGGAAACGACAAATTGCACGGTTTTTGTTCGCTCGTTATCTTCGTGAAGGGGATATAGTTCATGACAGCTACACCACTTATCGTTAACGGCAACGTCCTGGCATGTACGATTCGAACTAACAACATCGAACATACTTTGACACTTCGGACAACCTTCGGAACCAGATTTATGTTTAATAGATATTTGATTAACGTCTCTAATAGTTAAATACAGATCATACGGAGTTATTAATCTATATTGATTTATTTTTAAAGATTCCATTATGTCAGGATGGTTAAGTTTAAATATATCAGGTATCCACATGAAAAGAAACGGCATTCGTTCATCGTAGTAAGATTCCACATACATACGATGATCACCGAAACGTACGCCATGATCGCTGAAGAAAAATATAAAAGTGTCATTCAGAACAGCAATATCAGATAATTTCTTAAAGAAATCTACAAAAAGTTTATCTGCGTCCTCGGGACGGCTGTTTACATTATGACTGAAAGAATTTATCCAGAAGATACCAAAATTGCGTACTTTTCTGTACGTGTGCACAAAATCGAATGCGTAGTCTAGTACGTGTTGTCCTGATAAATACTTTCCTGAACATACGTGTGATTTGTTACCGTTTTCGAGTTCACTTTTTAGGAAAAATGTTCGCATGTAATGGTCAGTAGGAGGAGAACGGAATGCGTAACTTCTGCTAAATGTATCTGGCAGGCGTAGATAATCTTCGCCATATGCTGTTACGTAGTTTGCTGTCTTAAAATAGCTCCATAGTATGAATTTATTGCAGGAAAACATTTTTCCCGCGCAGTCCTTGATAATTGATGAAATATTTTTGCCCGTTAATGCAGCCATTATATTTGGGATAGTGTTATCTCCAATCTGAAAATATCAATATTTAATAATTAAAAAAATATTTTATCTTTAAATCATATTACGGATATCGTCGTTATATTTACATTTATAAGAAAAAAATAAAACATTCTAATGAATACGTAAATCACTTACAAAATTAGTTTTAACAGTTGTATAAATACATGTCGTTATTTACCAACCTACTTTCATGAAATTTTAATGCAATAGTTTTTATTAATACCTTATGATATCCTTTAAAACTTAGCCAAAGATTTTTCTTTAAGTATTCAGCTGTACGCGTCATTGTTTGCTCCAGCCGTCGTAATGACATAGAATCCAAACCCAATATAAGAACGTTGTATTTATTTTTAAATGTAGATTTATTTTTATTCGTATTATTTTTTCTCTTAATAAAGCTATAAACATCGTCGTAAATTATACGAGAATTGTTTCTTACATCCTTTTCAAAGCATTGTACATTTATAAAATCATCCTCTAGTTTAAAAACGTCACTTGACTGCATTTGTATACAGGAGGAATACCTGAAATAGTATTAAAAATACAAAATAAAATATTTACGTTCATCTAAACTTATACTCAATATTCTTTTGAAACATTATATGTTACTAGCTGTCGCCCGCGACTCGGTCCTCCGTATTCCTCCGAAAATCGGTCAAGCCGTTTCGGAGGAATACTATAACTAACATTGCAACACGAGAATTTTATTTATATTTTACAAGAAGAGTCTCAAATCTATGATATTAATTAAAATATTTAAAACAAATAATGAACTAAAATATATTATTAAAAGGAGTCTTTTCAGGCAAGGTTCCAAAGATACTGGCAGCGTTCCTCCTTTGAATAGCTATACTAATTCTTTGTCCGAGGAAGCTGCCAGCTCTTCGGTCGTCTGTGATGATTTTTTTTAATAAGATGTGGTATGTACGTATAATTACCTTAATTTTCTTATATTTCTTGGCGGAAAATATTGTTTAAAAAACCTGTAGCAACAATAGAAATTATTATTTCTTCCTAAATAACGACTCAGTATTCTTTCATCGACAAAATATTGTATTGCGTTTGGGCCAAATTTCTTTAACAATACAGCGCGTTTCCCACACTCGATACTTCTGCTTCTTAATGGGTGTTTCTTGAAATTTAACACCGATATTGGAATTTGACATCCGGCCGTATCTACTATATACTCTGTGGGAAGTTTTTTAAAAAAATATTAGTATCTTAGTGAATTTTTATTCATATTCGTTACGCCATACTTATTTTATAAATGCTTGGATTGATAGATGAATGGATGGATCTTTGTATGAAGGTATCTCTCTAACGCAGCTCTCCGGTCGGAAGAACACATAGGCTACTAATTAAGTTTTGTTTTTCTCACGGACGGAGCCGCGGGCGGCAGCTAGTAATGAATAAAAAAAAACCTTGTTTTATAATTTTCTTGACTCGTTGTTCTACTGAAGTTAAGGTTTTAAAGTCAGGTTGAATTGTGTGATATTTCGATATATGATACCACTGATAGAGAAGTAGTGTAAATAAAAAAGTGCTGATTGCTGCCATCCATAATGCCATCTGAATTTGTTTCATTTTTGTTTGCTATTTAATTATTTAACCTGTAACAATTTTTTAAATAATTTACTAGATAACTAAGTTAAATAGCTTTAATAATCAGCCAAAACTAAAATCTAACGTGGTAGCAAGTGGTCAATAGTTGCAACTCAGCATTGGAAACTAAGGTCCTCCGTCTCAGTAGCGGCGTTAGGGTAAGGCGTAGTAGGGCGACCGCCCAGGGCGCCGAACATAAAGGGGTGCCTTAGGAACCATAGCCGGACTAAAAAGGCTCCGCATGCGTAATGGAGTGCTACAAAAATCTCGCGCAGAGCGCCAGAAATGCTAAAGGCCGTTCTCCTTCTATAAAGACGTTATACTTCAATATCACCTAGATTGCCCGTGTTCTAGTAACAAATACATAGAATAATGCCTGTAAATCTTCCTACACACGTACGATTGAATATAATCAACACAATAGCAGCTTGTCTTAAGTTACAAGCTAACATGAGTAGCAGTTGTACTAACAAATTACTTTGGCCGCGCGGCGCTATTGTTTAGCATGTATTGTGTTTCAAGGTTTATGGTACGTTTAGCTTATTTTTACTATACAAAATATTAGTGTGAAATTAATTACACGATATTTGAACGTTTTAAAGACGTTCCATTAGATTCGGTTTGGTGAATTTCAGTCTGGAAAAAATTTGAGTCTTTTATTGTTAGTTTCAGATATTGCTGCTTATTCGTATGAATAGTAAATTATACGCCAAAATATTATAAGTACATACCTAAATCTTCTAGTATAATTTTCATAAATTATTAATTAAAATTATTGGAAACAAGAGAACGGTTACCTACGTATCATATTTACTTATACAAGAAATCAGTAATAGTGAAAAAAGCAAACATGTTACAACAACATTTCTTACATTATCAATAGCAAGCATCAAAATGATTTTGTATACAATATTTCAAAGCTGTGCCATGCTCTTTTGTCCACTTTAAATGCTTGCAATTAAACATTATTTTAAACCACGTTTCTTCATGTTAAAAGACACGAGTTTCGTAGGTCGTTTTGTATTCATGAAACATCTAGTCATGCGTTAACTTGAGGCAATTTAATATATTATCTGCGTTGCTAAAAGTCACGCGTATACAATTTGAATCATTAAATATTATCAATACAAGGTTCGTTGCGTAAACGTCTTTATTGTTATAAGAACCGATGGTACGAAAGTGTAAAATTATAATAAACACTGACACAAAAGTCAATAAAACTCAAGAGAGATGTTTATACAACAAAAATATATCTCGTATCTGGAATTTGAACGCTGTGGGAAACTTTATCATACGATAAAAATTGGCTATTAAACTGTCATCATTAACCTGCCCTTATCCCTATCGAGGGTCGGCACAGTATGTACTACTCTTCCATACATCTCTATCAGCCGTCATATACGAGTCTACCCCCTTCTTAAGCATATCCTCTTTCACACAGTCATTCCATACTTTTTGGCGATTAAACTGTATTGTAATAAAAACTTACGTGCTCTTCTGTATTAAACCTTGGATTTAAAACAAAAAAAACACCATACCTTTACAAAATAGAGTTCGATTTAACATAACTAAGTCAAAATTTACAAAAAAAATCAAACACAAATTAGGATATACCTTTTCAAAAATCATTGTTAGTATTACTATCAGGACTATATAGAAAATTACTTACAAATTCTAAAACTTACTTGTAAATTTTAATTACGGTGAATGATTTGATGTTTTATGATTGAATTTTTTAACATTTACAGTTGTTTCGTAGTTCATATTGCCCCTAGTTTACACCACTTCACTTATACACAATTCACTCGAGAGAGGCTGCGTCGCCATTTCTATATTCCGGGAGGAATCTTAACGCACGCGCTCTACAGAGCTTTATTAATGTGAATTAAATATTAAAAAACTTTGTAGGTACTCGTTTAAACTAATAATAAAAACTAAAGTATGTTGTTTAACTTTAGTATGTTGTTTAAGCTTTATCATTTTATCGATAAAGGTAGTTTTATCTAGTTAAATTGTATAAAAGCCTTTTTTTATTTTATAAACTGTATTAGTAATAAATATTTAAATAGAGTAATGAAGATTAAATGGTTTTGGTTTAATTGTTTTTTTTTTACTTTTTGGCTTCAATTTAAATATAAGAACACTGCCATCTTTTGTGAATTATTAAAAGCTACACAATGTTTGATTTTATTTTACCGTAGATGAGATTTTAGTATTGCCATTAGCCTATAGGTGGCGGTGCAAATACTGCTGAGCTGTGACTTTCCATTGTCAAAACTCGTATGAAAATTTGCTGTCCATTTTTTTTAAAGTATGCTTTTAGACAAGTGTTTCGGCGTCGAAATTTCATGATCAAGCAAAGAGTTATTTTTTTCATTTAATTTATTTTTAAATCAGATTACAAACATTAAAGAGCGGAGAGAGCTCGAGTAGTCTTTGTCAACTTCAAAGTTATATACGCGACTAAAAAAGGATAGTAATGATGGCTAACAGTAGTACAGGTTGAAAAGGGTTGAAATTGAAACAATTATTTAGTCATATAAAAGTTTTTAATAAATAATTTCATCGCATTCACACGCACACAACACACACTATATTACAATAAGTTACACTCTTAATTTAAATATAACACTAAAGCAGATGTAATTGAGTCTTTAAGGCTTAATTAATCATAAATATACGCTATAAAAATTTATATGGATATTTATTTAAAACTGAAATATAAAAAAATAGATAATTTTTTTGATTATTTCTGTATTACATAGATTCGGTGGTTTTTTTCATCAAGGTTTCGGATTAAAGGAGATTGCATGTAGCTGAAATACGTATCCTAAGATGGTTGATTGGTGTGACAAGCAAGGATAAAGTTAAAAATGTGTATATCAGAGGAAGTTTGAAAGTAGCGCCAGTGATCGAGAAATTGAGGAGTAAAAGATTAGCGTGGTTTGGACATGTTATGCGGAGGGACGATGATGATATAAGCAAATAAGTAATGAGATTGAATGTGGATGGCTACAAAGGTAGAGTAAGACCAAAAAAAGTATGGCTTGACTGTGTGAAAGAGGATATGCGTAAGAAGGGGGTAGACTCGGATATGACGGCTGATAGAGATGTATGGAGGAGTAGTACATACAGTGCCGACCCTCAATAGAGATAAGGGCAGGTTGATGATGATAGATTCGGTGGTTTTGATTGCAGAATAGACATAAAAACATACCGCAAATATCATAAAAGGACCATTAATAATTAAGTAATACATTTAAAAAAAATGAGTTATTTATAATCAAAAATATTAATAACATACGTTTTGTTTTTTCTGCTACATTTATCTAAATTTGCAGTATTAAAACTTTTTTTTTTTTAAATGGTAGTAGTCACTAGGCTTAGTTGTTTAAATTCAGCTTGCAGATTATAAAATGGTTTGAATAAAAAGTATAATAGGGCTGTATTATTTCGTAAAACACAAATATTAGTAATAATTCGATGACAATATTCTCGTATAGCGGTTAAATTCTATGTGTAAATTACATCTAATAAACAGGACATACGAAATATAGATGGGAAATGCTATTATAAAAATAGTGTAAATCCATATTTACAAGTGTTTTCTTATTTATTATCCAACTAGTGGTAGTTTTACTGTAAAATAAAATAAAAAGTAATAAATAAAAATATAAATGAATCTTCAGTCTTATAGAATGCATAATACAAAAGTAAAAAAAAATATAAGCAGATAAAAATTATTTGAGTAGATTCGTTACTTAAAAAGATAAGAAAAGAACCTTAAAACTAAATTTTAAGTTATTGAAATAAAAACAATAATTTTATGAATATTCAGATATAAATTCGAAACAACAAAAAAACAAATAGAGTGAGGGAAAATTATTTTTATATGAAAAATATATAAATTAAAATGCTACATTTAGAAAAAAATAATCGTTAATTACATATTAAAATAAAAAAACAACTTAATTTTCATTTCGGAATGATAAAACCAAAGATTTAACTTTGTTATACAATTCTTATTGTAATTTTCGACAAGACAAACACAAAGTTTATTATTTTCTACTAAATGTCTAGACAATTATACAATAATGTTAAAGTCACTGGATTAAATGTTGCAACAAGTAATTTTTAATTTATATAATTCCTCTGTTAAATTGAGATCCATACGGGAAAATTTACTCAAATCAATTTTTTTATATGAAATTATAGTTTTCAATCTTCTTTCGTTTTGGATGGAGATGGACATTCTGTAAAAAATACAAATAATTTTAATATTGCAATTGTATATTTTATTTATTACACAAAATGTACATAGAGTTGACACTTAAAACTTCAATTCCCGACCTACATTGAGGAAATAAATTCATCTCTCGTGTGAATTCATGGTACTTCTTCAGCTAAGAATAACTCATCATCATCACCCTGACTCCTTGAGATCGATGCATGAAGTTTTATAAAGCTTAATGTTTTGTCTTATCTGTTACGGCCCGAAGACCTGTAGGTAACCCAACTTGGGAGAGATGTGCTTTAAGCTGTGCGATGTTACGAGCTGCCAAGATATTTGAAAACCATAATACTCACTGCAAACAGAGCAGGCAATCTCGTCACTGTTGTCGCCGCAGCCGTCGCGGCCCGAGCAGGCCACAGCCGTGCTGCGACAGCGCCCGTTGCCACATCGCAGCGGGCAGAAGTCTGCCGCACGCCATCTGAAATTAAAACATTAAAATACGCATTCTAATTCCTCTACCATTTCTCATAATTGGGTCTATTTTTCTGTTAAAAAATGCGCTAATCTGGGCCTCAGATTTTTAGCACTTAAACGGCTCCATTGTGTACTAGATTAGAACAGTGAAAATTGTTTACGAAACAATTGCGCATCGCTAATTAACGCAGAAGCATTACCATTTCACTTTATGACTCACTTATAAAACTTTCAATAAAAAGATTCTTTGACATTCTAACAGTGTTTTGAGTGAGGTCAAAATGCACCATGCTTCTTTAAGTACGTGTCGCTTAATAGGCCAAGCTTCACGCATATGAACAAAATGTGTACGATCTAAATACCATAACACCACGGTATTTTACGATGGTGTTTGCTGCCATTGTGTGGTACTATTTGGTAAGCAAACATAACGGAACTCAACCTCATTTCGATTGAAAAGAATTGATTAATCCTTTAATTTTCGCTATCAGAGGGCTATTATGACAGCTAACTAAATAATGTTTAATTTACTTACTAGTAAATAATTATTAGTTACCTTGATTGTTCATTACACAGATGTGGTGGCTCGTCTGAACCGTCTTTGCAGGAGATAATCGCGTTGCAGAATTCATACTCGGGTAAACACTCGCCAGACCCGCATCGGAAAGTATGACGCGGGCATCTGGAAGAAGAATGAAAATATCAATATACAGAAGTCCCCTGCACTTCTATACTCGTAGGTTAAGTACCATATCGAGATGCATACAATAGGTAATCCTTAGATCATGTGCGAAGTAAATAGTATCAGGTGTGAAGTAGATATATCACATCACATCTGCTACTTTTGAATCGCAAATCTGATTTTTATAATTGTTGGGACGTTAGTCGTTCATAAGCTAGGTGCTGATTAACGTTTGACTTAAATAGCTCCATACCCCTTGCGCTTGGTGGCCCTGCAGTTTTTCTCGTCCTCACCGCCGGGGCATTGCAGGCTGCCATCGCATCGCGCTGCACGCGACACGCACTGACCGCCCGGACCGCCGCAACGGAAAGCGTGCATAGGGCAACGCTCACCCGCACCATCTGAAGATGATTTCACAACATTATGTAGGTTTAGGGACCTCAGTCAAACAATACCTGCAAATAAGGATGCATCTGGGAAAGAGGCAACACAGAATCGTAACAAATCATTATCCGTAATCAATACCCAATTTTTGTTAATGTAGTAATCAGGGTATTTTGTTAGTGTTATTATTTGAGTTATTTTCCAAAATTTTATTTTTAAAGGATTGTTGAATTTGTATTTCTTTTTGCGTTAAAAACTTCGATTAAAACTTTCAGATTACAACCTGACTTCAGTTTGTGTTTAGTAAGCGCTTTAATAAAAGTAAAGAAAGAAAGAGAGAGTATTTGTGCGCAATCGGATGAATCAGTGCGTAGATAAATAATAGTTAGCGACCTTTCCCGCTGCCTTCGCATTTCTCGTCGGAGCCGTCGGGGCAGTCCTTACGGCCGTCGCACACGAAGAACCAGCTGATGCACGCCCCAGTTGAACGACACTGAAATAAATCGGACAACTGTACCAGTTTTTTCAAATAAAAGTATTAGAGCAATAAAATATAATTAATAACTGTCCCTTTCTTTTCACCAGTTAAGCTGTCATAATCACAAGAAACAAACTTTTAAATAGAGCGCTCGAATTTTTTTACTATAATCAAAATCGATGATCATAAAATTACAAGGTAGGCATACCATCAGCAAACCATTTACGCCATTGGTCTGTCGTTTACCTAAGTAAATGAAACCCCATTTTGTTACAGTCCCCAAATGTTCTTACCTGGAAGGTACCCGGCAAACATCCTCTGTTTCGTGCCGAACACGCGGATGTCGAGTTGGTGCGGTACGCGCAATCGCATCGCTTGTTTACACATTTGGAGTACACGTCTACTTGATGGCACTGCGAGTCTCTTATACAGGGCATGCCTAAAGATGCTGGCCCAAGGTAAAACACGGAGGATACTTCGGCGCGAATACGGTTCTTATCTGAAATCGTAAGTAGGTATTAAAATTTTATTATTTATGTGAATTAATGTATAATTACTACAGTTAAATTAAGCCAACCTTTTGATGAAGATTTTTTTGGATGTCCACCTTTGAAAGGCTTAACCGAACTCGTTTGTTGTTCCTTTACGCCTCCGCTCTTTTTGTTTGCTTTCTTTTCTGTGGTCGGTTGTGTTACCACTCTGTACACAGGTTGGTCATTTGCATGCAAATTGGCTGTCATTTCTTCGACTCGAATTACTTCACTGTGATCACCTTCCTTCCTATTTGCGACAGGCATCTGTTTTACTGGTTCTAGTGTAGGTGTCTTTATGACCGCTTGAAGCAATGAATTGCCCGCTTCTTCTGTTGTTAACACATCATTTTTGCCTGGAATCGTTGGTAGCTTACTCGGTTCAACCTCATCAGAGTCAATTAAGTCACTGAGAGGTACAAAAGTTTCAAGGGAGCCTGGATTTATAACTGCAGGTAAGTTCAAAGTTTTTATTGGTGTTTGGATATTATGTTCAGTTTCTTTTGATGCTTCAACGACCAAAGGTTGATTTATGAGACTTTGATCGATGACCACTGCCTCAGTGGAGAACGTTGGTATTTTCTGCGTGATGCATCGGTCTCCAATTTGTTTGAAAAATATATTGCACGCGCACCGTCCGAAAAGATTTGGGATTACGAATTCACAATGACTCTCTTTATCCCATAAGCGGCAATGCTCATTGCTATAGCATACATGGCTTGGAGGAGCGGCTGGAATGTAGTAAATGAAAATGCTTTTAGTATTGATTTGTAGTGATTTAGAGACACGGCGATATCGCGTAATAGTGTGATAGCACCGTGATTATAGTCGGAGAAAACGCCATTAACTATTTTAAGTTGCTATTTCTCGATAACGCTTGCAACTTTAATAAATTCCTTAATAATATGTCAGTCCATGTACACATTACACGCTTTGATACATTGACCTACTCTAACCTGTTCTTTATTAAACGTTTTAATATTTAACCAAATATAGTTTCAGGGGCGAAAAATAATAGTTTTTTGTTCCTAAATTATATCTGTTAAATAATTACTAAATATAAAATCAAAAATTTTATCAGGCCAAACTATGATTTCTTTTAGTTTGACTTCCTTCGTATAATAAAGCAATTTAAAATAATCGACACAATATAAAACACAAGTGGTAATATGATTAGCTATTATGTTATAATCTAGCACAATGTTGCAAAACACGCGAGGATCAAGATAAACTGGTTCTTTCTTTACTCTGAAATGTCTTAATTTCATTGCACGATATTTTCTTTTACTTTAAAAAATAAAAATATTTTATACGGAAGAAAAAAGTAGACAGTCACTCGACTAACTGTTTAATGAAATTAGCATTAATTACAAGCATTTAATATACAGATGTAAATACTTTATAGTGGAAATAACCGGTGCAAATTGTAGAAATTCTTACAGTACCACACATTACTGTCAGTTATTTTCTACCGATCTAGATTTTAAAATGTTATAATGCGATGTCGAGAGATACCTTAGTTTACTTCGTCAAACAGTTAAGTTGTAGTCACACAATAACATAATAATAAAAGCGTTATGGTTAATAATAAGAGCGGTTCACACGAGCGGGCGTCGGCGGTTTCATCGCTACAATTGCCTTTTTTTCTTCTCACAAACGTGAAGCAATACAATGCGGAAATTATTATCATTAGGCGGCGTTTACGTTTTTAGAAAAAAAGTCTGGTTAACTTATAGAAAGAATTGCGTTTTGATGCGAGTCGATGTTTCAAAATTATTTAAGAAATAGGTATTTTTAGAGAGCGTCGGTGGCTCAGTGGTCAAGCACTTGACTTGCAATCTGCAGGTCCTGGGTTCGAATCCCGCCATGTACCAATGTGTTTTTCGATTTCCGATTTACATACATATGTACATTTATCCGATGTTCTTACGGTGAAGGAAACCATGGTGATGCAACCTGCACATATCTGAGAAGAAATTCAAAGATATATGTGAAGTCAACCAACCCGCACTTGGCCAGCGTGGTTGACTATGGCCTTTAACTTAGAGTAGGCTCCAAGCCCCTCGGTGGGGAAGTATAGTGAGCTGATGATGATGATGAGGTGTTTTTAGACATTATTAGTTAGAATCATTTATAGCTCGTGGCGCGCTTTCGTTACCAAATCATTGTCAGATCGATTAGTGACGGGATATAACTGTTGATATTTTGATAAGGCTAATGTTGCGCTGTTACACCGGCACAGTGTCGGATTTTCTTCCCAACAGTATGGATTTATAAATTGAAAAAAAAGTTTATTAACACTTTCGAAAATCATTATCTGAAAGTATTAAGTAAACACGACTATTACTTAACACTTAATTTTCGACTTTCTTCTTGCTACTTCAGGAAATTATTCGCCAAGTTAACTCATTTCGATACGGTGCATTATACAATTAGTGACGTAATCAACGATAAGAGTATAATAAAATTATGGTTAACGAATTAAATTAAGCAAAATAGTATCAGAAAAATTATTATTTTAAACAATACATGTACGTGATTTTAGTTTTTTCTTTGACATAAATAAGGTACAGTTACACGGACGTATCCGTTAATTGTTATTCTAGACAAAAACATTTATATTTTACTCTAGCGTTAAATGCTTATAGATCCAAGTTAATTGTTATAACACGGCAAGTAAGCATACCTATTGTGTCCATACAAATCGTTTCATATTATCATAATAAAGAGGTAATTTGTATGTATAGTGTAATGTAATATATTTAGACTTACGAGAAAGGCACGTATGTTTTCTGAATTGTAAATGTCCGTCGGTGCATCGACACACGCCGTCGAGGCAGGCGCTAAACGCCACTTTGAGGGTGCACTGCTCTGACACGATGCATTCGGAGCCCAATAACGTTGCTGAAACAAGGGAAATTAATGAATTATTCTATTTAAACAAAAGACAAATTAAACAGCATCCTTAAAACTTATGTAAACTTGTACAATAGGCACATTCAATAACTATAAAAGCTTGTTAAAATTCCTCTTTCTATCCTCTGATTTTCGCCTTTGAATTGGAATAGGCTTGACTTAATTTAAAAAAAAAGCACCACATAAACCTACTCATATGATTAAATTAGTACTTAACACCTTTATATGTATATATTTATGAAATACATAATTGTAATTGAAAACAGTTCAATTATTTTCTAACAATCAAACGGGACTATTCACGATGGGCGTAGTCTGTCCATTACAATCCTTGTCAATGTGAAATGTAGGCGAACCGTTTAAGATCGTAGAGTTCACGACCCTAGGGCGGACTTGACCCAATTCAGTTTCAAGTTCACCGTTGGCTCCGTTTGGCTCCGTACCGGGCGGGGCTATTAATTTGCATCCAATGGACGTAATATTTCCGCCGTCGCTTAACTGGAATAAGGTTAACGTGTGCCCACATTCCAGTAACGATATGATCTTTTTCTTTGATGTGGCGATGCTCTAAAATGTACTTTTGTAACTTGACTTGTAAAGTTGTCACTTTGAATCTAACAGTAAGTCTTCATAGCATTCTTTCTTCCACTGTCTTCATCTTATATTCTTTTCCTATTACATCACAGTTAAATGTTATTAGAATGTAAATGACGACATTTAAATCATATCTAATACGTCACGACAGACAATATGATGAACTAGGTGGCGCCCGCGACTCTGTCCGCGCGGAATGTATTGTTCCAGACTATGTTCTTCATCTGTGCCAAATTTCATGAATATCGGTTGAACGGTTCTGGATATATCCATCCATCTATTTATCCTTTCGTATTATGACATCAGTAAAAAAAATAGAATAATGCTATTAAAAAGGTTTACTTATTTGCCTTAATATATTTTAAAGTTTTTATATTATTGTATACTAATTAATCGAAATTTTATTGCAAAACACATTCTTATTAACAACACCAAGTTCCGGTTCTTTAAAAGAATGCATTCGAAAGTTTGCATAAAATGTTTATTATTTAATGGCCGTATAAAAAACTGTTTATCTACATTGTGTCAATTACGACAAGTATGTAAAAACTCTACTACCGATTAAAATGCCACCATTTTAAACTTAATTTACCTTTTTTATGTTAAGTCTTTTTACATCCCGTAATATACATTTTAAAATAAAACATTTTTCCGTCATACGCGTAACTTCCGAACAATTAATGAACGTCTGCCCTCGTTATTATAAGCGGACGTGTTTGTATAAAACGTGTGGTTGATATATTAAAATATATGTTCTTATTATACAATAACTAGCTATTAATCAATGATCAAGCGTGAAAGTTCCTCGTGTGTCTTGTGAAATTGATTTATACCGACAAATTAGCTTCAACGTTGTCTTCTATTTAAATTTTACGTAATTAAGTAGAATTTATAACAATCTTGTCATCCGTCTTCCGTAAGTGCGAAAAGTGGTTTGCGGGAGTACGTTTGGCCACGCCAAATAGTCCCTGGTCTCAGCCTGCCCCTTTGGGTTACCGGCGTGATTTGTGTGTGTGTGTTGTAACAAACCACACAGAAGACAGGCGTGATGTGGAAGCAATTCCACGTTTCGTTTGATGAGTGTGCGTCCCGGAGGCCTAATTTAGTCCTCTTACCCTTCCCACCCTTTTTCTTATAAAGAAAGGATGGGAAATAGAAGTGGACTTTCTGGATGAGAGGATGCATGGAAAGGGAAAATATTTTCATTCTGTGTATCCTCTCCTCCGTCGAATAAAGGTAGGCAACGCATATGCAATAGCGTATGTCTATGGGTCACTTCGCTGTTTCAGCGATTTCAGGTGGCTGCTCGCTCGTTTGCCTCCTTTTGATATAAATAAAATCAAATGACAGCCAGTAGCGTTCAGATTAGTGATTTCGTTTTGCGTACATAATTTTATTACCGAAATAGGTATTACTTATTACAGAAACTGATAGAATGGCTTATAAGTAACACTGCAATTGTATTCAAAACTTTTTATGTCCCTTAAATTGTCTATTCAATTCAATAATAGAATGACACATAAATCCCAAAACACAGATTAAAAATGAACATTCGCGTTTATTAGATTTGGCGCGCTCTGACAGCCATGAAAAATGATTCGCGTGACTTTTATATTTCCAATCGCAACGATTTAATCTGCGGCCTATTTCTATAAATGCTACGATCGATAAGTTCAATCGTCTTCGCTATAGAGACGATGTTACACTTTAATCGTTAACAATAGAATTTTGTTGAATCAAACGATTATCGATTAAATAGACGTATCGAGAACTGGCACGATCAAAATACGGATTTAAATAAAAATATTCAATGTCAAGGTCTGGCCGATTATAAGAATTTGGATTACGAGCAATTACATTCAGATCATAGATTCTATTGGCACGCAAACGTAATAAATGTTTGATCGTCTTAAGTATTCTTGGAACGTGCATTAAGGCAGATTACTGTAAAACTACATATATGACTAAGAGAGTAGTACTTGGATAGCCTTTTACAGTCTGTGGGCCCTCTATCTCTATAACGGTTACCGTCTCGTGAGCCTTAAATCACCTGTTCGAATATTAGATATATGCGTATAACACGCCTATGCAATACGATAGTGTAATACTCGAATGCAATAAGTTGTACTTTGTTTGCCCACGTCTCTGTTTCTAACTGCATTTCTTAGAACTGGCATTATAATTAACAATGTGACGTCACTTTTACTGTTATTGTTTAATTTAATTGTAGACATGTTAAGTTTAAGACTTGTCGGTTCGTAAAGCTTTACGCGTCATAAACTCAGTAAGCTTTGTAACTATCTATAATTTAAAAAAAAACAAAACCGACTAAAAATAATAAAATTATAGATTACTAGAGTTCCAGTTGGCCGAAGTTTCATTTCGACTAAATATTCGTCTGAAATTGTGTCATAATAAATTTTTAAATAAAAAAAACTTACATGCATTTTGGAATAATATTTAAGATAATATCTTCATGTGTTGCGAGAATCCAAATATAAAAATATACGATACGATTATGATAAACATTAAAATGGTTAAAAATGTCGTCGACGGAAATATTTTTTACAAAATAAAAAGAACAATAATTATTTACCGTTTAAAATTGCCACGCTTTCGTTGGCCTTATTTTTGTCAATGTAACCATATCACTGTTCTTCATTTCTCGACATTTGAAGCAAAAAATAGTTCCAGACCTGTCTGGGTAGTGTACAAACAAAACAAGGTGTATATCAATTATGAGACTCACATATCTTTTTTGTTTTTGCTCATTAGTGTCAAAGATCGTGTATTTCGTGGGCCTACATTGCACTATAACACAGTTCAACTTTTTTCATCTGATCTGGGTTAATGGACGAACTGTACCGTGTTCGGGGTGATGCTGTCATGTTATACTTGCTCTTGCGATCTTACCAACACGCATATCACTCTTACTTTGCGTTCACACTGCTCTAAACTTTTCATTAAACATGTTTCGATGAATAAACATACGAACATTGTTAAAAGTTTTTAAAACTTCTTTTACATGTAGCGATATTTCGATGGTCGCAAGAAAAATGTCATCACAACTTGACATTATGATAATAAAACCAGTCACCCGCGACTCCGTCAGCGCGGAATAAAAAAACAAACACTATACGTAGCCTATGTTATATTTGTAAACCAAATTTCATCGAGATCCGTTCTGCAGATACCTTTAAAAAGACATCCATCTAAACATTCGTATTTATAATATGACTAAGGTTTCCGCAGACTATTAGTACTGCACACAATTAGTAAACTTTATTACGTAAAATAACTATCCACCAAACGTTAACAGTACAATAGATAATTAAGGAAACTCTAGATTTTATTACATTCTTAATATAATTTATCGAGATACGAGTACTTTGATTCGTGAGAACAATTAAACGGAACAGTTCAGAGATTTGTTTACAATGCAAAACTTTCTTTTTTAAAACAATTGTTTAAATTGCAAACCTATTATATATTATAAGCAAAAATGTTTGTCAGAAATCTTATAAAGGAACACAGACAGTGATAAACTTTGAATTGTGTTGTTATCTGTTAGTACGCGGTCACTACAAGATTGTATCTCAACACCCTAACAACTAAACAAGGATTTATTGGTGCCGGTCACGATTAAACTGTGGAGTTCGCAGTGAATCTGGTCAATTGTGCCTTTTTTGCTTTAAGTATAGATTGTTCAAAGCCTCTTAACATAAGTCACAATATCATACGTAATCAAGCCTCTATAAATTCCAACAGATTATTATCTCAACATATTACCAAATTATAAACTGAAGAGATTATTCATAACTAGCAGTCGCCCGCGACGCCGTCTGCGTGGAATTAAAAAAACTTAATATTGCTCTGCATCTTTGCCAAATTTCATCAAGATCCGTTAAGCCGTTTCGGAGATACCTTCAAACAAACATCCATCTATCCAAACATTCGACAATTTCTAAATTGTCGAATAGTCGTTATAAACACCAAATGTTTGATTGGTAAATATAACTTTAAGCTTACTTTTCATCGAGTATGAAAGACACGATCAATCTTTACCAATCTGCAACATTATTAAAAATATTTATTTCTTTATTTTTTGCTATACCAACATATAAATGTTTCCATTGATATGTCAGCGATAATTACAACTTTCTGTAGCTGTCGACGGTCGACTGTTAGATCTGTTGGAACGGTACGCGGTGTCAGTTACTCTGATGGTATACGATGATTGCTCACGGCTGGCGGCTGGCGGATGGCACACTAACCACTGCCCGACTGACTGACAACGACTGACACTGACGACTGACAGACACTGACAGCTGATACATGTCGAGACACATGTTGCCTATTTTGCTAGAGTATACCGAACTGTCTATTTTAAATGCTAAATGAGTTTTTAGAATTAAATCTCTGAGTTAAATAATTTAGTTATTTAGGTGCCGAAATCTTTCCATATCACAAACTACAATATGCGTTTATATATGGTTCATATTTCAACTCGAAGTTCCCACAACTTTAAAGTTACAAGAGTAATTCTTAGTTTGTAAGTAAAGCGTAAGGTCATGAACACTTTTTAAGAAGACACTGACCGTTTTATTTCACAGAAAACACAAAAAAAAAACGAAAAGAAAGTGTGTGCTCGTCTTAATATAATTTAAATGTCGCAGTTGTAGCGATGACACCGGTCTTTCGCAAAAATTGTAACGCGAAATTATAAAAGAACCGTTGTACACCCATGTACTAGTTGCTTGATTCGGTCTTTTGTTCTGAATAGGGTGAAGAAAGTGCGCCGAGCGTGGGATTATGGGACGATCGAAATAAAAGGATTTGATAACGTCGATAGCATCGCATCGCAGACAATTTAAGCCAGCTTCGTGCATTTTGGTGCTCTGCAATCTGTGCACTTTGTCTACAATATGTTCTCATGTTTATATAAACTGAATACTTTACGAATACTGAGTTTCTTGAAACAATTGGATTTTATCCTCATTATGCTATCAAATATGACTACAATATATTTTTCGTTTTACAAGCTTACATCAAAAAAGCTCAGTTAATCTATTTTACATATCCTCTACCTTGCAATAAATGTTCGCATTTGGCAAGGTTACAAAGTGCACATGTAAAATTTGCTACGTACATTTTCATATAATACTATTAATTGAAATTTGAATTTTGTAAGGTCAAATGCCATTTGTCTATAGGGTTCCGTACCTCATAACAAAAAACGGAACCCTTATAAGACCCTTTTTTTTTAAAGAATTACTTAGACAACAAAATGAAAATAATAAAGAAGGAATTGTATCTACATCCTAACAAACTATCTAATATAAGTTAAATTAATAAAAATACAGTGTATAAATAGGTATTTTTCTATCCAAGTAAAAAAAAAGTATATCCAGGGCTTAATTTACCGCTGCTTACTTGATTATAAATCACCGTTAGATACTTAAAGATGTATTATTATATTTCCGCGAACGGATCCTATGCAAATAAAATAATCTGAAGAGAAATGAACAAGCAGATCTCTTACAGCGCACACAATAGCTCACATTGATTGCTCAATTACAAATATTTGAAATCAGAAATCAGCAATAGCAAAATGGAAAAATCACTGATTAGGAGTATTGAATGTTAGTCTATAAAAGCAATATGATTTTGCATTCAGATAGCAGATTAACGGTCTTATTTTTATACCCTATTTCAATAGTTATGTATTTTTTTTAAAGCATTAACACATGCAAACATTATAAATCTTACTAAATGCGTATGTATAGATGGATGGGTGGATGTTTGAAGGTATCTCCAGAACGACTGAACGGATCTCGATAAAATTAGGCAAACATATAAAAGATAGTCTGGGAGAACACATAGGCTACCAATTATGTTTTTTTTTAATTCCGCGCGGACGGAGTTGTGCGACAGGTAGTAAAAGTATAATTCTTTCGAAAATTCCCTTCTCTTAATACAGCGGAAGTTTAGAGATCCCATGTTCATATATAAATATAAAAATAAAGGTTTGAGTTGATAATGTCCAAAAATTTATTATATACGTCTTTCGTTGTTGTTTGCGATCGTTGCGTCCTGTAGAAGTTATTTCTTTGTCGTTTGTCAAGTCTTGTAGTTCTTGAAAACAGTTTCGTAGAAGTGTAAAAGTATGAAAGTGCTTATTTTTATGCAACAATCTTAAAAGCTTACTCTCTTGTTTTATTTTAATGTAGAGTTCAAACTTACAAACGAAAGAATTTCTTCAAATAATTTCGATAATTTTTTTACCCAAATGATTGGAAAGCGAAATTCTTTGAGCGTAAATACAATTTTTTTTTACATAAATGATGACAATAGTTACGTCGGATATTGAGAATTAAAGTGAAAGTAATTTCTTAGGCTGACCGCAGACCAGCGTAGGTTGCAAGGCTCTTTTGTCGGCAACAGTACGCCAATGAAACAAGTCGTAAAAATATTTCCATTTACATCTCTAGCTAGCAACGCTTTACCACCGCAGATTAGGGGTTATTGACACAAAGCATTGTGTGTATGTTACATGCACTGGGTTTTTAACTATTGCAAATTATTACAAAGATATGTCTGATCAGTTTCCAATGTTCTGTAAAAATCCATCCTTGGGATATTTTTCCAAGACTTATAGTTGTTTTAAAACTAACACCATCTTTATTCGTTAGAATTACAAAAAATAGAATAACTCACAATATGCACTAAGAAATTGTATTCTACGGAAGCGATCCAGACAAAACCTAGTCTAGTCTAGAGTCACCGTGGGCGTGAACTGCGGATCGCGTGAAAACGAAAAAGCCGTTTTTGTTAACAGAATAATTACCTATTATACTAATTCGACTGCGATTGCAGCTGATTTAGTAATACACATATTTAGCAAGAACAAATCCACCTCAGCAGAGATATATAACATTGTAGTTTTTCTACATTTTATTAGTTATTAGTTTAGTAGATATATAGTTACCAGAAAAGTGTGCTTTAACATACTTTAACACACGCCTGATACCCAGATGGGGGGGTAGTGAACACGGATCTCCATTTGACTCGGTCCTGACACACCTCTCTCGCGTCTTTTACATACATACATCTACGCATACCGACCTTATTGAATATTTCATTGATGTAAACGGTAAAAGTCCGTCTATTGATAAATATTGTACCTACGTATATTTCGGCATCATAATTTAGATCTTTTGGTAAAAATGTATTTTTTGAACATCCTGTAAACGGAATGTGACTAGGATACTTACATTCAAGACACGTGTAGTTGTCAACTTGGGCGTAATAAGGTTGACAAGAGCAAACTCCTTTGTCACAGTGAGAATTTGAAACATTGCACTCGGCGCTCTTCCGACAATGCGTGCCGAGAGGACCACCGCCTTCCGCTATTGTGATCTGCAAAGAAAAAAACAAAAATACGTAAAAAGTTGGGAAGAAACTTGGGAGCTTTCTTTGGAAGTTTTTTTGGGAGGGCGTTAACCTTTTTCTTTATTTTTGCCAGTTTTTATAATATATCTATACGGCAGCATATTAGCATTGTAATACAGTATTTGTAAAGTTTTTCAGAGATTTTTTTTAAAATTATACTTCCACAGACGATTGACAAAAGGACACGGAATGAGCAAACGATATTAAGACAGTAATTACAATTAGTTGATTGTCTCAAAGTTAAAAGTCCATTACAGAATGTTAGTCCTTCTCATTTCCATAAATAACAATGCTAAAACATCAAGATACATACTTGATGTAATATCGTCTCTTTATGTGCGAAACGTTTGGTAGAATTTACCTCTTGTACTTTGTCCACCGATTACCGGTTCTAGTCGTACAAGCTCCTTGAAACACGAGCTTCCTTATTTATGTAGCTAAGTAAATTCTCGGTTCTGAGCTTACAACAAATATGACATTCAGTACTAACTAAAGTAGCTTTCGCGACAGGGTCGTTCTACTGGTTTCAGAAATTTAAAATTAAATAAAAAATCATTTTATAATATATATTTATGACTTTATTAAATATAATCACGAAAAATTCATAAATTTGTTCGGAGTTTTAGATTTTAACTTTTTTTATACGAAAACTATGTCAACCAAAGGAGCAGTTTATAGAATAAAAAAAACAACAAAGTGATCCTATAAGGGTTCTGTTTTTTTTCCTATGAGGTACGGAACCCTTAAAACATATAAACACGTGTATACACGGTCTTTACCTTCATAGTTTTAACAAACTTATACCACTTCTTACTAATAACTTACTTGATGGTACTCGTAGTTTTCGTTTTTTGTCTGTTTTTACAATTCGCACTGGCTATTTATAAACATTTAAAAAAGACAAAGTTCTTTAACTTAAATGTTTTACGCGACGTCCTTGACGCAGACAAGTTTTACGATGAAATTAAACTTTTAAGGTAGACAGGTATAACTGATTCTCGGTATGCAAATTGTATAAAGAAGATGGACGCCAATTACTAGCGTACAAAGTTGTTGATCGTAAATCAAGCCTGGATCTACAATCAAGTTGTTGATAAGCAACTATAGCAATAAGTAAAACCCAACCTATCAGACGCGAAAAAAAAAATCGCCCCCATATCGATACTGTCGCATACTTTTGAACCGTGAAATTTTTGCTTATTTTTGTTTATCAAATCGACGGCCCCTAAGTAAACTTAGGTAACTGCAAAATATATTTTTTTCCAGAAGAACGCAAAAATATATATCATGTCTCATGAGTTCTATTTATCACACAATGATGAAAGTTACTATAGATTTTTTTAAATAAAACTATCGATAATATTTCTAACGATTTTCTTATAAAATCTAAAAGAAATTGTTATTGTAAAATATCAACCTAGAAAGCTTTGTAAAGTAATAACCATGTGATATTTATTTTGTTCCACATACTAAAAACATCATGGTTTAATGAGTGCATTCGAAATTTCGAATAATCTTTTCTTTTAAGTAGAATAGACAATCTGGGATATATTAATGAAAGGCATTAAAAATATCCATGCTAAAAGTGGTCCTAGTACTAGAACCGGTCTAGTTTGCACACTAAAGTGTTAGATCATAGTTGTAAATTGCTATGACAATTTTAGTTGAAGCGACGTGTCTTCGCGTCTATAAGGATGTCCGCTGAGCCCACGCACGAGCGAGTGTTACACGACGTGCTAATAATTATCCTATGTTAAGACATTTTTGTAGATATATTATAAACTGGTTGAATTAGTTATTTGTTTTATCTTATAGATGGATGGATAGATGGATGGATGTTTCTTACAAGGTATCTGCAAAACGACTCAACGGATCTCGCTGAAATTTGTCATAGGTATGTATAGAGCATAGGCTATATAGAGAGCATATAGAACAAGAACATAGATGCTATTTAAATGCAACGAGGTTGGAAACAGCATTCGATCGTTCTATTTTTCTAACTTCTTTTTTTCAACAAGGTATTTTTTTTTAAATATTAGCAGATTTTTTTTGTAAATTTACTAATATTTCTTTTACCATTCCAACTAAGCTTTAGGCTTGTACTATGATATGGTTTACGACAATAGTCGAATGGCGGGATTCGAACCCCCGACCTCACGACCGGAAATCCGTACCCTTAACCATTAGGCTATTGACGCTTTTTAAATATTTATATTTGTACATAGCAAAGGAACACAACCGCTTTTGATTATAATTTTATTTTCGTATTTATAATCGATGATTAAATAACAGTATTTTTCAACATAACCCCGCTTGTTCAAAATTTGGTATTCTCATAACGTCCAGAATAAAAGGAATACACGATTTTATTTGTTCCCCATCTGATGATATAAAATTTTTATGAATCGTTTCAGTAACGTCGCACGTAGACGACGAGTATAACTTATTCAAGCTCTGGAAACATGAAATTACCCATAAAGGAACAAGGGACCGCCTTGTACTTCTTTACATAATTTACGAACCACTTCCTTTCGTAGTATTCACAAAGGTTCATATATAGAGCTCTTTGAATTTGAATAAAGTGATATTATTACAAGCTACTATATTCTTTTCCTTTTTTGCTTATGTAAAGAAATGTAAATTAGGAATTTATTGCATAACTATTGAAATATTAGCACAAAGCTTCACAGTTTTCTAAATTTTTTTTATGATCGATTGTTTACCATATCCAATAATATTGGCAACTACATAACAGATTTTATCAAATATGTTCCTTTTAAGGTTCCGTACCTCATAGGAAAAAAAAGAAACCCTTATAGGATTAGTAGGTAGTTACATGTTTTTGGGTTGCGAGCGTTAAGGGTGGGTCCTTAACGCTCAAGCGGCCCTGATAAGGCGGTTTAACCCAAGATTATGGAGCTGGATCCAAAAGATCTAGCGAGGCGTTGGAGGGTGGCGGTTATGTTCCGAACGGAGATCCCGCCTCCGCCCTTGTTAGCGCCGGTGGCGACCGCCGTTTTTATTCGGTGCAAGCCCGACATAACCACCTTTGTCCCCTCAAGGATGGTATGCGAAAGGCATTTCCCCACGATAAAAAAGGTAGTTACATATTATCTACTTATAATCTTTGTAACAATTTCTCTAAGTGTAAATATTGAATGTTATGTAAATTGAAAATAGTACAATGGCATATAATATGTTATCGGTACTTATTTGATTCACATTGTTAATATTGAATGAAGTAACGAAAGAATACTTTATTGTAATAGAATAAACTAGCTGTCGCCCGCGACTCCGTCCGCGGGAGATTAGAAATTATATAGTAACCGATTATAAGACCTATTGAATATGCATATAAAATTACAAAAAAATCTATCAGGCTGTTTCGGTCGAGTGTGGTAACAAAGTGACACGAGATTTTTTTTTATAAGTTTATACTTAAAATATTTTTATAACACTATAAAAAAAATATCGTATAAAAAGTAATCGACAGTTTTGGTATTATTTTTAAAATTTTGTTAACTTGATAACCCAATTTTCAACCACACGATTTTGTCCTAACCGCGATCTTGTTTAAAAGCAATTGTCGAAGTTCAAACGAGTAAATGGTAAAAAAACCGTTATATTTTTATGTGGACTGCGGTTTATTTTGATTGGACGTAATCTTTAATATGTTATCACAACATAACAACAACCGTTAAGAAGTATCTATAAGTTGCAGACTAAATCATCAGATACGGAATATAGAGGTATTCCTCGTATTGAATTCGATTACACATATTATATCCATTGTTATTTATAGGCATTGAATTTAAATTCCTAGAAAGTATCGCTATTTGTCTATCAGATGCCATCAACAGTTTGAATTGTTCACTTTTCATTATTGCATAGTTTTCCGCGTTGCAAAAACATACGGTAATTGCCACGTTTAGTTGTAAATGTGTTTAGCGATAAGTAACAAGAATGTCATGATTACAATCAACCAGAAGGAGAATTATTTAATGCGGTAATCATTTCTTGTTTGATTGTTCATTGTATTCGTGCTTCACATTTTTGTGCATTCAATCTAATCATGTCTTTTATTACGTTCGCTGCGATATATCTTTATTTATCTAGCCGTTACCCACGACTCCGTTCGCGCGGAATTAAATATTACTTTATTAGTAGTTTATATTCAGTATTCCTGTCGAATTTCATAAAGATCCGTTAAACCGTTTGGGAGATACCTTCGAATTTCTAACAAACATCCAACCATCCATCCAAACTTTCGCATTTATAATATTAGTAAAATCTATCTTTGTGCTGAGACATAAAACGTTAATATCAACTATATGTTATCGAATTCATTTAATAATCCTAGTTGTTAAAGCCCGACTGATCTTAACTGTATTATAACGAAAATAAACTATTAAAATCAGTACTACTTCGCCATAGACAAGGAGGTAATAGAAATAACATTTGATATCAAAATTTCAAATAAGTAAAAGCTCTTTGAAAAGTTGGTTTAAAATAATATTGATTACTTGACTACAATACTTTGATCTATTTGAGAATTAATCTTAAGTCCTTCATTTTATTAATTAGATAACAGCGCGTTGGTCTAGCCAGTGATGGCGTTAAAGGTAATCGCCCCGAAGCGTGTGATAGCCGCGCAGCAAATGAGATGAGAATTTTCCCATTACCATATCCGCGACACCGTAACATCGGCATGAGGAAGGCTCAGGTGACATTTATTGACCATCTATTATATATTACTTTTGTAAGTATAATTGTTTTGGATAAGAATACACAAAAAAAATTGTTAACATATGCTTTGGACTACTATTAGTGCGTAAATAATTAAAATTTACATCTAGAAATTAAAAATAAAGTATTTTTTTTAATGTGATTTTAATGTTTTACAATTTTTTATAAGCAATATTGTCAACAATTACCGGCACAATGGGATGAAAACAAAGAAAGAAAAA